TTGTGGTTTGACAGTCATGGGCAATAAAGAAAAAGGTTTGTCTCAGTGTCCCAGCTACAGCTGTAGAATGACGAATTCCAAGGTTTTTCAACTGAAAAAAAACAACCTGCCTCCTAGCAGAAAATACAGGTTTTCTTCAGAGGCTGGGAAAAAATGTCCATCAGTATTATTAAACTTTTTTTATTGTGAAATTTATAGGAATAAATGGATAAAGTATAAACTTATAAATTAACAAATGATTATTAAAAGCCATCCTTAAAACCACCACCTAGAGCAAGAAAGAGAGGGTGGCTGGGACCCCAGAAATGCCCCGGGACTCCCAGTCTGGCCGCCCCACTCCTGGGAGCCGTTCTGCAGCTGGCACCCAAATGAGACCCTTGGTCTTACTGGCAGTGGTGCACATTAGAGCACATCCCTGAACACTGTCACGTAGCTCTGGCAGTTTCTGAACGTGTTGTACAAATGGAATCACACAGCATGTATGTTGTCCTTCTGTTGCTCACCTTTACTTCCGTGCGATCCGTCCACGTGGGTGCGTGAGGCAGTAAGTAGTTCATTGCTCCTGTGGCCTACGAGCCCCATTGTGTAAAACATCACTGCACATGTGTCCACCCTGATGTCGATGGCCTTTGACGTCTTCTTGTTTTAGCCCGTTGCACGTGTGGCTGACATGAACTTTCTTGTAGATGCTGTGTGCACACATGTCCCTTGAATATAGATCAAAGGGTGGAATTGTTAGGTTAAGGGAATATAGTTTCAATTGATATCCTATATAGTTATTGATTAGGATTTTGAATTTATAGGTCAATTTTGGAAGAATAAACATGTTTGCAATATCAACTTCTCCAATCTAGAAGCATGGTATACTATATCTCTACATTTATTTAGGTTTTAATTTAATTTTTCATAATATTTTGTGGTTTCCACCATTAGGTATATGCAATGTATGCTATAGCTAGGTTTTTTTCTATATGTTTGTTTTTTAATCAAGTTAAAGAAGTTCTTTTCCATTCCTAATTTGCTAAGTGTGTTTTTCATGCATAGCAATTAAATTTTGTAAAATGCGTTTTTTTTTCTTCATCTACTTAGGTAATCAGCGTCTTTTTCTCCTCTATCCTGTTAACTTGGCAAATTGCATTGATTCAGGTAATACTATTGAGTGCATACAAATTTAGAACTTTTTCATCTTTCTGGTGAATTAAACCTTTTAGCATCAGGAAGTGACCCCCTTTGTGTGTAGTAATGCTTTTTTTCTTAAAGATCATTTTATCTGCTATTCATGTAGCAAAAAGTGACCCTATATTCACTAGATGCAGGCTAGTCATTCATTTATTCTTTTAAAAATATTTACCTGAGTAGCATCAAGGTTCTAGGCACTGGAGCCTGAATGCCAGGGCCCTCCGTGTAAATCTTACAAGTTGGCTTACCTTTCACATTTATAGAATAAGCCTCCGTTTCCTCGTCAGTGTGAGAAATTCCATTGACTCTTCACATATCATTCTGTCCACGCTCTCCCTTCTCCCCGCAGGGACTCCAGCTAGACATGTCAGACCGTTCATTCTGTTTCCTAGGCCATTATGTTCTCCCTTGTATTTTCCATCCTTTAGTCTCTCCTTGCTTTCTTCTGGTAATTTCTTCTGATCTGTCTTCCAGTATACTAATTCTTCCTTCAGCTAAATTGCAATTAAACCTGTACATTGAGTTCTTAATATTGGGCAATATTTTTCAATTCTAGAACTACTAGTCAGTTCTTTTTAAACTAAGGGGTATTACATTTTATAATTTCCAGCTCCTTGCTTAAAGGTTTAAGAGTAGCTTTTAATTTCATGAGCATAGTAAGCATCAATACTTTAAAATCCACATCTTGTAATTACTCTCTTGAGTACTCTCTTGAGTACCCGTGGGTTTGTTTTTGATCTCTATTGTTTATGTAGGTCTTTGATCATGTTGTCTTGTTTCTTCATGTGTCTGTTTATATTTTTTGTGCTATATTTCAAATTTGCACATTTGTTTGTAGAAATATTTTCATATATGCAATGATGTTCTCTTCTTCCAAAGATTTATTTTCCTTTGCTTTTGCCAGGTGACAAGACCTCTAGCAATCCAAGGTCTCATCTTAATTCAAGGTCAGGGCTTGAAATGACCTGGGAAATCTAAACATTATGACCTGACGGCAGATCATAGCTGCATAGCCAGTCTGGGCGGGTTCCATTTCCTTTCAGTCCTGTTTCTCCAGGGCAGCTTTTTGGGTCCCAACCCTACGTGTGGACTGTTTACCACATTGAACCCTGAACACTGCCTTCATCCCTCTGATAGCTTCAGGCCACTGCAAGTCCTGCCAGCCGTCCAGCCTCCTCCTCTGGGCTGACCCGTTTGCCTGGCGAAAGCAGCCCCAGGCGGGGTGCCCGTTGGCTGTGTCTTCTCCCAGACCTTGGCCCTGTGCCCTTCACCATCTTGCAATCTTTGCCACTTTTGTGAAGATTTAGTAATCATTTTGTTCAGCTCTTTTTTTTCATTCATCCTCAGTGGGAAGACTTGTCCAGATTATCTGGTTAGCCCCATCACAAGGAGAATCTCTAAATCTTTTAAAAGAATGCAGGTCCCTTATGCCCTCGCCACGGTTACTTTATTCTGACCAGAGTCAGGCTTGGCTTTGTAGACTGTGACATTCATTGGGTTTACTTAACACTGATAGGAATTCAATTTAACTTATATTTGTTGAGCACACGACATATGGCCTAGGTACATAGACCATACCAGAATAGGTTTATTTTTCTTTCAAAAAACCAATTATCCACGTAGCATACTGGTTAAAACCCATGAGTCCAACAGCCAGGTCCTACTGACTGCAAACTGTGTCCTAGTTACTTACTTTTTCTGTGCCTCAGTTTCCTCACCTGTACAATGATGGCAATTGTAACACAACATCTTGATTGGACAGTTGTAAGGATCAAGGGATACTATACGAGAACAGTGTTTATGGTGCTCTGGCAGCGGCAAGAACTAATAATTATTACACGTCACAGTTACTGTCCCTGCCGTTTGCCAGGCCCCTGCCAGGCCCTCGAAGTCCGGTCCATGAGCAGGGCGGCCACACAGCCAGGGACTGCATCAGTGGTGAGCTCTGCTGGGTAGCAGCAAAGGAGGGACACCTCTGCCGGGGTCCCCAAGACACCAGGACCGTGACTGAGTACAGGTGTGGCCGTGACTCAGGTTTGTTAGGGTACAGTGAATGGATTCTGGGCAAAGTCGGCAAAGGGAAAGGCTTGTTGGGAAAACCTGGAGGAAACCAGGCATGGACTTCCAGAGTCCTCGCCCCATGGGTCACTCAGCGCACTTAGTCCCCTCAGCAATGAGCCGTGACAGCTCGTGTGAAAAGTCGTCTGCCAGGAAAGCGGGCCTGAGCTTGGGCGTGCAGGGCTGTTGTTGGGGTCAGTCACGTGCCCAGCACGTGCCGAAACCCCAGAACTCGGGAAGGAAGCCGGGGTTCAGCTGCAACACGCCGCACCCAGCCTAGCCCCATGGTCAGGGCCTTGCCAGAGAGGGACCTCGGCTGGGTTTGAGGACAGTGTGGAGAGTTCCTAGACAGAGTGAGGCAGCGGGGACTCTGGTCATGTTGGCCCCGTGGCAGCGAGGAACAGTAGTCGGCTGCGAGGCTGGGGAGGAGGTCGGGTGAGGCTGGGGAGGAGGTCAGGTGAGGCTGGGGAGGAGGTCGGGTGAGGCTGGGGAGGAGGTCGGGTGTGGGGGCAGGCCCCCACAGTGCAGCCTCTGCTCCCAGGGCGCTGTGGGCCGGGGATGACACATAGACTGTGTGTGCCGCCCAAGAGCTGTGGGAGCCAGGGTCGGAAATGGCCAGGTCAGTCAGAGTGGCCCAGGGAAGGCTTCTGAGAGGGATTGTTTTGGGGGGGGCAGGATAAGGAGGAGTCCATTCCGCCTCACCCTGCAAAGTAACCAGAAACGGAACAGACTCTTGAAAGAGCATCTTCATAATAAAACCTTCGATGAGATGCCATGTATATGTTAATGAACACACACACCGAAAGCCACGTTATGAACATCATGTACAGTGAAGGTGTAGGAAGGTAAACTGGGGCGAGACACTGAGTTCACAGGGACGGGCAGAGGGAAAGAGCTGCCGGGGCAGGTGAAGGCGTCTGGCTTAACCCGCAAGGTTTGGTGTTTTAAATGCAAAAAAACCCAAAACAGCCACAGACAAACCCAAAACAGTCATGGATCCACAGGTATTTAAAATTATCATCTATCTGTGGTGTGGGATTTTTTCATAGTTTAGAGAAAGAGACTAGGGTTGGGCAGGTGGGACTAAGGTGACATGACAATGAGGTGGGGGCAGGACAGCAGGGGCCAGACTTGGGGCTGCTTGGACCCCCGCCAGGCGACCTTCCCGGGAGGGGTTCCGGGCTCGTCCAGGTTACCCGAGCAGGCGGGGGAGGGCTCCCTGTAAGAGCTGAGGTTCACGCCAATAACTTGCACAAGTGTGGACGTGGACAGGGAGACGGAGAGACCCGTGGGGGGTTGGGAAACAGCCCAGTTGGTGACACAGAGGCGATGCCAGCCATGAGAGCTCACGGGGGCCGGCGGGACCGCTGGGGCAGGGCGTGGCTGGAGCTTGGCTGGGTGAGGCGAGCGGGCTTGAAGGCAGCAGAGGTTTCCCAAGACTCTGAGTGTGTGTCTGGGTGTGTGTATGTGTGCAAGTGTGTATGAGTGTATGTGTTCACGCATGTGTATGTGCCTGTGTCTGTGCATTCGTAAGTGTATGTGTGTGCATGTCTGTGTGTATACAAGTCTGTGCGTGTGTGCACTTGTGTGTCTGTGAGAGAGAGACTGCGTGTCTGTGTGTGCACATGCACACGTGATCTGAGAGTTCCCATCTCTGGATCTCCGCTGTGTCTTGCGGGAGGTGTGGGGGAGGGGCAGAGGGAGGCTCAGGCCTCTGTGGGGTCCTGCCATCACCACGACCCCACTGTGGTTCTCGGCTTCAGGAACTGTACTGCAGCACCATAGACACGTTCCAGAAGTCTGCGGACATCCTGTTCCTTGAGAGGCTCCCCGGCGTGACTGGCCTCCCCCCGGTGGAGTGTGACTGCTTGAGGCAGGAGGTGCAGGAGGACGCCGCCCGGCTGCTGCGGAAGGCAGGCCGTTTCCGGAGGCGGCAGTGGCAACTGTTCCAGGAGCTCCTGCAGGAGGAGCAGCAGGTGCGCGGCAACCAGGGGATTTGGGAAGCTGGGGACGAGTGTCGAGACGTTGCGTCTGGTGGGCAGCCTGGAGCCTGCTGCAGGTGCTGCAGAGAGGGGACGGCCACCAGTCTTCACGGCAGCCCGCGGGGTGGGGCAAGAGAGCAGGACCGTCGCCTCCCGTGGCAGGAGGTCAGGAGACAATGCCTTATGTTGATCCGTCAAGAGAGAGCAGCAGAGCATGGTTTTAGGACAAGAGGTATGCGTAGCAGACGAATGGCGGCAGAAAGGAAGGTTGGGGGAGGCACCTGCTTTTCAGTGAAAGTCATTTGCTGATCAAGACCATGGATCTATGCTGTGGACAGAATCGTGGTCCCTCACAGATACCCACGTCCTAAGCCCCAGAGCCTGGGCACATGTCCCCGCACATGGCAAAAGGCCCTTTGCAGATGGGATTAAGTTAAGGATCTCGAGCAGGGAGAGATGCTGGGTTACCCGGGCGAGCCCGTGTAATCACAGGTTCTTATGCGAGCGGGGCAGGAGGCTCAGAGCCGGGAGGGGTGCTGTCGGCAGAGCGGTGTGGCCAGGAGCCTGGGCGTGCGGCGGAGCCCAGTAGCTGGAAGGGGCAAGGACAGATTGCACCTAGAGCACCGCCCAGCTCACGCCTTGACTTTAACCCATTAAGACCCATTTCAGACTTCTGACCTCCAGAACTCTAAGACGATAAATGTATGCTGTTCTAAGCCATAGTTTGTGGCAATGTGTTACAGTAGGAATGGGAAACTACTGCAATACTCATTGATTTTATTTTTAAAAAATTAAAAACCATGAAATAAAAGAAGGGACTTCCAGATTCCGCACCCACCATCACTGCCCACATCTCCTCTCTCCCTCGCCTCTGCCCTCGAGAGGCCGTAACACTAAGATGCTCAGTCGCCCAGCGTCCTTTGTGAATGGCAGTGGCTGACTGGCACAGCTCTGGCCGATGAGACAGGGCATGGCACCTGCAAGGGGCTTCTCTTTCCTCCTGCCAATGCCAGGTCTTGCTCAGAGCAACCCCATTCTTCCCGCCTTTCTCTGCCCGACAGACGGCCCACGCGAGGACAGAGCCTGGTTGCTCAGACAGCGGAACAAAGCACTAGATGGCCTGAGCTCCTGGTGGTGACTTTCACTGAAAAGCAGGTGCCTCCCCCAACCTTCCTTTCTGCCGCCATTCATCTGCTACGCATATCTCTTGTCCTAAAACCATGCTCTGCTGCTCTCTCTTGATGGATCAACATAAGGCATCGTCTCCTGACCTCCTGCCACGGGAGGCGACGGTCCTGCTCTCTTGCCCCACCCCATGGGCTGCTGTGAAGACTGGCGGCCGTCCCCTCTCTGCAGCACCTGCAGCAGGCTCCAGGCTGCCCACCAGTGGGGGCCACTGCTCCAGCCCCACACTGCCCACCCCTAGGTGCTTATTGTCAGAAATTTCTGTTCCTTTATGTGGGGTTTTCAGTTAGTTACAGAAGACCCTTCTGACTGATGGATCTAAAAGAGGTTTTCTAAAGCAATTAGTCGGAGCTATAGACAGTATGAAGTAAATAGAGGAAAGTGTCATACAAACACATGGCCATTGCCCTGTCAACGGTAACTGGACTCTCTCCTGCACTGGGCTGTGAGTTCCTTGAGGGCAGCACCCTGATCTCATATTTACACCTCCTATTCAGAGCCCAGTGGCTGCAATGCAGTATCTGTTGCATTCCCGGCAATAATAAGGCAGCTTTGGAAATTATTGAAGGGTCACCGTGACCCTGTATTCTTCCAAAGGATCTAAATGAAGCTGAATTTATCCAGTTTGCGGGCACCAGACCAATTAATTTACAGTCTCTCTGGTGGCAAGAACCCACAGTGGCTTAGCCCACCAGGTGGGTCTAATGTGCCTCTGATGTGGACCCTGCAAGCGAGGGGGGGCATTCTGGAGACCACCGTGGTTTTGCAGCCGAGTCACTAACCTTGGTAGCTCGAGGCATGGATGTGAGCCAGAGCGGACACATTAATGGGCCATGTGGCTTTAGCCAGTTAACTGAGATCCGCAGCTCTGTGATATTCCACAATGTGCTAAGTGTCCCTGTCGTGGCCCAATTACAGGGCAGGGGATGACACACAGAACACATGCATAAGACGCAGACAGGCTGGCTGCAGTCCCGGAAGAAAAAAGGACACAGACGAGACGGTTTAGGACTGCAGCAGCTAAACTCTGCCAGTCATTTATTTTATACAGTTAATTGGACGAGCGTCCCGCTGCGATTTTCTCATGCCAGCTACTTTCCCAGCTACTTTTTGGTACTGACTTCCCACGGCCAACAACACCTGCTTTTCCAGTCAAAGCAAAAAGCATGGCCTTCTACAAGAGGTCTCTTTGATGTTTGACACTGTTTTCAGATAACAAACAATCTGGGCTCGAGTGTGACACCTGAGTCCTTGACCACCTTGCAGCGCCTAGCACCGCGTGCTGGTCACCAGGCAACCTTGGCTCGCATGTGAGGCCACAGGTCCTTGGCCGTTGCCTAGAGAAACAGTTTCTTCTGCTGGTCAACAAGCCATGTCCTGCTAATTGTGGGAGCAAGCAGTGGGCTCCCGTTCTGCTGACTTGGGGTCTCAGCCAGTCTGACCCTGGGACGGCTCGCTTCAGCTCACTTCAGTCCCCCAGCTTCTTTGTGAAAACAAGAGATCAAAATATCCAACAAGTTGCTGTGAGGTAATGCAAGTTAAGACCTTTAGCACAGTGTCTCTTGAATCATTTAATATGATAGACAGTGAAAATTCAGAATTTCATATCCCATAAAACACCTGTGGCTTATCTAAAACTTTCTGATTATGAATCTTAAGTTATTAATATTTTAGGTAAATATGAGACTATGCATAGCTCTGTTTTTTTAATCTATTTACTTCGTGAGCATATGATTGTGAATTTTTCTTGGCATGTGGGGAATGTTTTCAAGATGAGTTTTGCATTCAAGAAGCAAGCAGAAGGCCAGGCGCGGTGGCTCACGCCTGTAATCCTAGCACTCTGGGAAGCCGAGGCGTGCGTATTGCTCAAGGTCAGGAGTTTGAAACCAGTCTGAGCAAGAGCGAGATCCCGTCTCTACTATAAATAGAAAGAAATTAATTGGCCAACTAATATACATAGAAAAAATTAGCCGGGCATGGTGGCACATGCCTGTAGTCCCTGCTACTCGGGAGGCTGAGGCAGAAGGATTGCTTGAGCCCAGGAGTTTGAGGTTGCTGTGAGCTAGGCTGACGCCACGGCACTCACTCTGGCCTAGACAACAAAGTGAGACTCTGTCTGAAAAAAAAAAAAAAGCAAGCAGAAGAGCTAATGACCTCATCAACTGATTAAATAAGTATGACCCAAGATTGTTTCTCAAAGTGTATATATCATAATTAATTTACTGATTGCTTAATTGCCTTAAATTACCACAAGATATTTAGAGATCCACGTTCTCTCCCTCTTGACATTTTTCCTCATCGATGACAAAAATGAGAAAGGAACTTTCTAGCTGTGGATGAATGTCAGTCCTGGAAAGCACTAGCACGCCCTGACCGACAGTCTTCTTTCCCACAGTGTTCTCTGTCGAAAAGGCTTTGGTGGTTTCATAGCGTGTTGCTCAGGAAAGTTGTTAAAAATTATGGAGTTTGTGAATCACAAAATGACGACAAGTTTTCATTTCTCAAAATTTAATCCCACTTTAATGCAGACATCTGGGCTTCTCCCAGTCCACTTGTGGTGGACGGCATAATGGCCCCAAAGAGGTCCAGACGCTAACCCTAAAACCTGTGAACGTGGCAGTTACAAGGCCAAAAGTACTTTGCAGAGTCATTAGGATCTTGAGAGGGGCACATGCTCATCTGGCTGGGCCCAGTGTCATAACGAGGGTCCCCATAGGTGGGAAGGACTCACGCGGGCTCGCTCCAGTGTCCGAGCTTGCCGGGCAGAAAGACCCAGCCAGCCACTGCTGGGCAGGAAGACGGAGGGCGGGGCTGTGCATGGGGAAACGGCGGCGACTGACCCTGCCCAGCCCCTCGGGGGAGGGTGCAGGCTGCCCACACCACCTCTGAGCCCCTCCATGCCCATTTTGGCTTTCTGACCTCCTGAAGTGTAAGATAGATAATGAATCCCTGCTGCGTTGGGCCGCTAACTTTGTGGCCATCTGTGACAGCAGCCACGGAGGCCTACGCAGCGCCACGTGAAACTATGTTGCTCGCAGGCAGCGCGCCTGCCGGGCGCAGGGCGCAAGGACGGCAGTGCTAGAGGCAGTCCACCCGAATTTACGTCCAGCTCCCCTCCCCTGCTCTCGGCCCCTCTCCGGGCAGCTTTCTGTCCCCTCATCGCCAAATCCGCCCCCCTGCGTGCCAAGCGAGGCCTCCTCTTGCTGGGCCCAGTGGCGGCGTGTGGCCATGCGGGGGCCTCCCGCCCCCGAAACACTCCGACTTCCTGCTTCCCCTCCCCGTCCCCGCTTATGGTTCCTGGCTCCCGGACCTGGAAAGCCCCTGGGGTGGCCTGCAGCCCTCCCTGCATCCACACGCACTGTCCCGGGGCTCCTGCTTGGTCACGCGCTGTCTGTGTTCCTCTCTGGTGCCACATGAGAAATATCCCCAGACTATCGTAGCGGCTTAAAACAGCACGCGCACAGGCTCTTGGCAGGACTCGGCTCCTCGAGGGCTGCTGGACTGAGAGTCAGCGACTCCAGAATGTGTCCCTCTGGCTCACAGTTGTCCATGAGCTCACCTCTACTGCAGTCCCCGTTTGGGAGCCTGATAGGCGTGCAGATTCAGTGTGTCCAACACAGCTGTCACAGCGCCCTCCTGCTTTCTGCCTCACGGAACTAAAGCTTTGGGGTCACTGTGCGCTGCCTTGTTTCAGCTGGCAGGAAATGTCCCCCATTGGTGCTAGCTGGTCTGATCCAGAAAAAGACCACACCTCGGCACTCCTCCCTCAGCACCTGCGGAGCTCCCGTGCCTTTGCCGAAGTCCTGCGACAGTGGCCAGTGGTCCCCTCCGTCCTCACCCCCGTCCAGACTGGTGCTCCTAAGATGTGCTATATGCCAGTAATGCACACTTAAAAATATATTGACAGCCCTGGAATTGAGATGCAACTTAATTTAATTGGCAGTGACTTTTCTCTGTCTTTTATTATTTTTCTCTGTCTCACTCTGGTGCCTGGGCTAGAATGCGTCAGCCTAGCTCACAGCAACCTCAAGTCCCTGGGCTCAAGCGATCCTCCTGCCTCAGCCTCCCGAGTAGCTGGAGCTATAGGTTCATACCATCACACCAGCTGATTTTTTCTATTTTTAGTAAAGATGGGGTCGTTCTTGCTCAGGCTGGTCTTGAACTCTAGACCTCAAGAAATCTTCCTGCCTCGGCCTTCCAGAGTGCTAGGATTACAGGCATGAGCCACCAAGCCTGGCCAACTTTTCTCTCTTAGTGACACCTAATATATCTGAGCATCTTATAATCATCAGCACGACAGACTTGATGAAGATACTAAGTCACATCAGGCACCTTCTCTGCTCAAAACCCTGTTGGCTTCTCGCTTCACGTAGCGTAAGAGCCGGAGTCCCACTCTGGGAGGCCAAGGTGGGAGGGTCAAAAGACCAGCCTGAGCAACATAATGAGACCGTGTCTCCACAAACAGTAAAACAAAGCCGGGCATGGTGGCGCGTGCCTGTAGTCCCAACTACTTGGGAGGCTGAGGCAGGAGGATCGCTGAGCCCCGGATTTCGGTCACACTACTGCACTCCAGCCTGCGTGAAACAGTGAGACCCCATCTCTAAAAAAACAAAAGCCAGAGTCCTCCGCTGCCCTGCAAGCCCGTCACAGCGAGACCCGGCAGCCCCGGCCTCAGCCTGCCTGTTCCCAGCCTCACCGGCCTCGCGTGCCTCTGGCTCCCAGGGCACGCCACGGCCTCACTGTCCTGCCCCAGGTCCTTGCTCCGTGTCACTCTCATGACAAGGCCTGGTCTGACCTCGCTCTTGATAACTGCAGTGCCTCCCTCACCCTCAGTGCCCTGGTGCTGCCTCAGGTGCTGCCTGCAGAGCCCACCCGTCCTGGAGGGCACTGCCAGCCTCAGCACGTGCCGGCCGGCCACCGTCCCTGCCCTTCCCTGTGCAGTGTGCGGCTCGAAACAGAGTGTGTGCCTCATCCAAGGTCACAAAATGGCCTGCAACCAGTGCCCAGCGTGAGCACTCTGACCCTGCAGCCACTTGCTGCTGCTGAATTTAAGCGTCTCTGGGCCCGCGCCGGACCGTGTTGCAGAGGCTCGTGTGGCAGTGCCAGGGCCGTCTGCCGATGACCGTGGTCCTCGTGATCCAGTTTCATCTGCACTCCCAACACACAGCGAAGACCCCAACCTTTTAGTGACACTGTTCACCTTTTAAAGAATCAAGACTGTGTAGAATTTTCTAGAATGTTCTGGTTTCCCAAGCACTTTGATAGATTATGGAGTCAGAGGCTGACCTTACCCAAATGTGCCAGGTGACAGTGTGGTTTTGTGAGATTGTGTGTACGAGTGACGCATCACAATGCCCAGGAGGGCTCAGCCGGTCCTCCCCTCCGGCCGCGGGTCTCTCCTATTCTGAGGGCACAGCGCCAGCTCCAGGCGGATGGAGGCGTAGCCTTTCCACGCAAGCTCAGGAAGAGGGAGGGCTCCCGCGCTGGTGATGGGAGCCTCAGGGCCATGGTGCAGCCGGGGGAGAGCTGAGCTTTGGAGACAGACAGGTGTAGATTTCAGTCCCTGCTCTGCTATGGGCTGTGCAGCGCTGGACCTAATGGGGTCTTCACAGATAAAGCCTCACTGAAGATGAGCTAACATCCAAGATCGCAGGACACACTGGGCACAGTGGACCGTAGGGTTTGCACACACAGCACATGTTTAGGCCACAGCAAGCTCCAAGGAATTCATAGGAAGGCATTATTAGCAAGTGTGTATAAAGTAAGCTTTCTAGAACAATAGAAAAAGAACAAATAGCCCCCAAAACAAGACAGTATGAAAAAAGATAAGACAGATGAAATAACATATACTTTTATGAATAAAAATTCTGAGCATGAAACAGCAATTTAATGGATGAGTTATACAGCAGATTAAATGTGGCTAAAAAAACTGTGAACTAGAATATAAATGTGAGAGACTGGTCCCAGAATGCAGCTCAGAGATTTAACCACTTCGGTACGAGCGAGGACTGTAGTCGGTAGCCACAGATGGACGCGCACAGCGACTGTAGCCCACAGCCGTGATACGACTTTTCTAATTTTTCATTTATCAAAATAAAATTGTGAACATTTAAAAATAACGTAATGAAAACATATATGTATGTGTCACCTATTCCGATTTACGTGACAAGGAAAGCTGCCTGTAAAGTACAACAAGCTCTCAGTGCTCTAAAGCTTTCCTCGTCACGCAAGAGCAAGACGGACGCGCCGGCTGGCCGCGCATGCGCAGCGCGGACCCCGTGCGGACTGAGTGCGGCCGTGGGCGAGGCATCACGGCGGTGAGCGTGACCCCGACGTGGCTAAAGACATGGAAAACAGGAGAGAAGGTCAGAGACGTGCAGAGTGAGAAGGCCTATAGAGACAGAGCGTGTCTATAACTCTACGGAAATAGAATATGGCATTTTCACGACAGCAAAGGAGAACAGAGGGAGTAAGAATAAAGGAAATAAATAACACTGTGAGAAGGAGCACTGATGATTCAAGCAACAAAGACTTTAGAAACAGGAGGACGCCGAAGCCATGGAGCAGCGCCCACACTGCAGGGAGGATGCTGGGGTTACAGCCCTGCTGTCCTCGGGGCAGAGTGTCAGCGTGATTCCTACAAAGCACGTGTGCAACTGGAAAACTGAAGAGTAACCATGGGGGAGGGAACGGAGCAGCCCCCTCCGGGAGCTGCCTGGTGCTCCCGGCTGGGCCTGGCGTCCTCCTGTTGAACAGCGCCACAGAAGGTCCACACCAGACAAGGCCACTCTGTGACGTGGCAGAAGGAGACACAAGCGAGACCACTGCGCAACCGTGTCTGAACACAGACCAGACGTGAACGCGCCCCAAGGCCCCAGGTGACCAGACACCCAGTCCTGGCTGAGACGAGTGAGGTGGCTTTAGCCCCCCTGAAACGCCCCTCCCTCTCCGTAAGACTGCCCCAGGTGCGGCAGGACCCGCCTCCTGACCGCACCGCCCAGAGCCCAGCAGCTTCCTCCAGCCCCCGGGTCCCTCCCACGGCCACGGCCAACCATCGGGCACTGACCGCCCCCCCCAGACACCAGGTTCCCCAGAGTGCATGTCCTGCACCTGCTCAGCACAGGTGCACGCCTGGTGGTCTGTGGCGTGCACTGACAGAGTAAAGTAAGTAGAAGGTACAGCTTCCAAGGTAGAGAAGAAAAAATGCAATGAAGAACAATCAATCCAATGAGCGTAGGAAGCAGGGGCAATGCAGAGGTAAAGCACAGTAGCTAGAGAACTCTGGGTCGCGTTAAAGTCCAAGCACACCATCAGTCAGCGAGCTGTAGCAAATTCACTTAGATTGTGGAAAAAGGATCTAAATCTAAATACGTAGTATTACAGGAGACTCAGCTAAGTCACTGTGACACCAAAAGTGAGAAAGGCACATACCAGGCAAATATTAACCAAAAGAAAGGTGTTGAGTGAAGCAGACCTCCACCGGGCAGAAAGCATCCTTCAAGGACGAGAGGGCCATTCTGCAGTGTGAAAGGGACGCAGCCTCCAGAAGATCCGACAGTTCAGCCTCGAAATACATAAAGCAAACTTTGATGCAATTGAAAGATGTACAAATTGAAATCGTAATCTCATCTCACAGAAAATCAGATAAACCAATCAGACCATAGGTCAGGCAGTGAAAATAGGTCTGCACCACACGGTAAGGTGGAGCTGGTGCGCGTCCGTAGAATTGTTGTGTGTCATGTGTGGAGCATGTGAGTGCCTCTATTGAAAAGCCAAAGAAGGAACCAACAGATAAACTGTCACATTGAGACTGCTCTGCAGGGTTGCCACCTGCAAAATCAGTATTCCAAACCAGTAAATATCCTCCAAACCAGCAACACCCTTGATAACGTAAAGAATGTCTGCAGAATAAAAGCTATAGGGTGCCTAAAAATAAATCAGCCAATATATAAAAGAGCTCAGTGGAAAAGTTTAGAAAATGTTTTTGAGGACATAAAGATGAAAGAAATATCACGTTCTTGGGTAGGAAACTCAATTTTGCAAAGGTGGCTGTCCTCTCCAAATTAATCTATAAAATCAACCCAATGACAAAAAACTTAAAAACAAAATTATTTCCTAAACTCAACCAACTTATCCTAAAAGTTACATGAAAAGAAAAAAAAAAAAACAAAGAATAGTCTTACAGCTTAGAACAAGAGAATAAGGAAGGACTTGCCCCAGCAGCTATGACGTGTAGTTACTATAACCTCAGCAGTCAAAGCGCTGTGCAGAACTAAACAACCAACAGAACAGAATAGCCTGGAACAAGCTGTGGGAGTATATATTTATTATGTAAGACAAAGTGGCATTATAGGAAGGCCAGAAAAAATAAATTATTTAATAAGCACTGCGAGACAATTAGTTGTCCATTGATCCAGAGAAAGTTAGATCTCTTCCTCACTTCACAGGAAATAAATTTTAGATCTTTTAAGACCTAAATGCAAATACTAATATGAAAAAATTTAAATTTTTAAAGAAAACATAGGAGAAAATCTTAATGAGTCAGGAGATAGGGGAATGTCTAAACAAGAAACATAAGGCGCAGTCCAGCACAGCAAGGCAGATGCAATGAAGCCCAGACGAGTGACCACCTGCACGCCCTGTGCTCTGCCCTGGGCTCCAGGTGTGGATGGAGGAGTGTGCTCTGTCCGATGTGCTGCAGACACACCTGCGGGAAGGCCTCGAGAGCACGGTGCGCGGAGCCTTGGGCCGACTTGGCGGCCTCACCGAAGAGTGAGTACGGCTTTCTGAGGGCGTGGGGTCCCCGTGTGCATGCACGGGGCGTGGGGTCCCCGTGTGCATGCTCTGTGCTCCTCAGCACCGTCTGTGAGGTGGACGCACCGACCGCCCCCGCTGCCTGCCTGTGAATGTAAATGGCTTCACGTTTCTCAGCCTCACTCTCCTCATCTGTAAAGTGGGGCTAAGCATACCTACTTCATAGGAGCTTTTTTGAGCAGCTTTTTGAGGTGTAATTTACATACATTTATTCTGAGTACAATTCAATGATTTTTAGTGAATTTACAGAGTTCTGCACCCGTCACCACAATCCAAATCTAGAACATTCCTATCACCCCAGAAAGGCAATAGGCCTTTTTGCAGTCACTCCCCATTTATTGATCAATTTTTATTTTCATTTTTATACTTTTGCTGTAACTATTAGTGCAATATAGTCTTCTCCATTTGCTGAAAACTATTTATTTTTCCTTATTTCATATGAGAAAGGCTCTTTTGATGTAACCATGGTTGCAGTGCGCAGCCGCGGCGGGGACACACACGGCCTCGACCCAGGAACTCAGTCGGGCTGGGCAGGGTGCTGGCGAGCGGAGCTGAGGGTGGCAGGGGCGGCTGGGGGTTGGTCTGCCCTGAAACGGTGTCTTTAAATTGTATTAGAGTTTAGTCCATTTACGTCTAATGTAAGTCCTAATGCTGACGTGTTTGGGTTTTCGTGCCAGTTTGTGAGAATCCTCAGCCATTTTCTCTGCAAACCTTCCTCGCCCTTGCTCTCCCACCCCTTGCCGGCCGCAGCGCCTGGTTTGTCAGCGCCCCGCGCGGGTCTCGCCTGCGGCCGCGGTCTGCATTCTCTCTCTGCGGTTCAGGCTGGTTCTTTTCCAGCCATCTTTCATCCACTTTTCGGCTGTGTTTAGTAGGCTGTGAATCGCCTACTGAGTTGTTAATGCCACTTACTGTGTTTTCAGTTCTAGAATTTTCATTTGATGCTTATAGTTTCCAGTTGTCTGCTTTATCTTATTTAATTTCTTGTGCATATTAATCATGATTATTGTAAAGTTTATGTCTGATTATTCTATTATCTGATATCATGTAGGTATGTTTCTATTGTCTCTTTATTTTTGGTTAATTCTTATCTGTTTACGTCTGGTTATTTTTCCTGAACGATGAACCCTGTGCAGCTTCGGATGGTGTGCTCTTCCTCCGGGGAGGACTCACCTTCCTTCCAACAGCAGCTGCGGGGAGTGGCAGATTCACTGCGCCATTGGGGATTTAGCTGACACAGAGCTAGGTCTTTGTGAGAAACGAGTCCTTATTCTGAGGGTAAAGTCCCCAGTGGGAAGCCGGGCGTGCTGGCCAGGCCTCTCCTGCTTGGCGGACGGGCGCCAGCCCTCTGCTCTGCCTCTCTGCCTCTCCGCAAATCCCTCGAGCTGCACAATGCTGGGCCTTGGATACATCACTTAGACAGGAACTCAAACATAGCTCAAGACTGCAGTTTGAAATGTGTTGATTTGAGAGCTACGTAAGAAGCTTGAGTTGCTGTGTGCCGTAGGCGGCTGGGCAGGGTGGGACAGAGTTTAAAAGTCAATGCAAGAGCAGGTGGCTGCGGAGCACGCAGGTGATCACCCATGTCTGCGAGGACCAGACGCTCCAACCCACTTCCTCCTGCAGAGGCTGCCCGGGCGGCGGGGTATTTGGGGAGCTCCGTGTGTGCGGGAGGCTCCCCAGGTAGCAGGGTATTTGGGGAGCTCCGTGCTTGGGAGGCTGCCCGGGCGGCGGGGTATTTGGGGAGCTCTGTGTGTGCAGGAGGCTCCCCAGGTAGCAGGGTATTTGGGGAACTCTGTGTGTGCAGGAGGCTCCCCGGGTGGCGGGGTATTTGGGGAGCTCCGTGTGTGCAGGAGGCTCCCCGGGCGGCGGGGTATTTGGGGAGCTCCGTGCTGGCAGAGGCTCCCCGGGTGGCGGGGTATTAGGTGAGCTCCATGTGTGCAGGAGGCTCCCCGGGCAGCAGGGTATTTGGGGAGCTCCATGTGTTCAGGAGGCTGCCCGGGCGGCAGGGTATTTGGGGAGCTCCGTGCTGCAGAGGCTCCCCGGGTGGCGGGGTATTTGGGGAGCTCCGTGTGTGCAGGAGGCTCCCCGGGCGGCGGGGTATTTGGGGAGCTCCGTGCTGCAGAGGCTCCCCGGGTGGCGGGGTATTTGGGGAGCTCTGTGTGTGCAGGAGGCTGCCTGGGTGGCGGGGTATTTGGGGAGCTCTGTGAGTGCAGGAGGCTCCCCGGGTGGCGGGGTATTTGGGGAGCTCTGTGAGTGCAGGAGGCTCCCCGGGTGGCGGGGTATTTGGGGAGCTCTGTGTGTGCAGGAGGCTCCCCGGGCGGCGGGGTATTTGGGGAGCTCCGTGTGTGCAGGAGGCTCCCCGGGCGGCGGGGTATTTGGGGAGCTCTGTGTGTGCAGGAGGCTCCCGGGGCGGCGGGGTATTTGGGGAGCTCTGTGTGTGCAGGAGGCTGCCTGGGTGGCGGGGTATTTGGGGAGCTCTGTGAGTGCAGGAGGCTCCCCGGGTGGCGGGGTATTTGGGGAGCTCTGTGAGTGCAGGAGGCTCCCCGGGTGGCGGGGTATTTGGGGAGCTCTGTGTGTGCAGGAGGCTCCCCGGGTGGCGGGGTATTTGGGGAGCTCCGTGCTGCAGAGGCTCCCCGGGTGGCGGGGTATTTGGGGAGCTCCGTGCTGCAGAGGCTCCCCGGGTGGCGGGGTATTAGGTGAGCTCTGTGTGTGCAGGAGGCTCCCGGGGCGGCGGGGTATTTGGGGAGCTCCGTGTGTGCAGGAGGCTCCCCGGGCGGCGGGGTATTTGGGGAGCTCCGTGTGTGCAGGAGGCTCCCCGGGCGGCGGGGTATTTGGGGAGCTCTGTGTGTGCAGGAGGCTCCCTGGGCGGCGGGGTATTAGGTGAGCTCCGTGTGTGCAGGAGGCTGCCCGGGCGGGCGGCGGGGTATTTGGGGAGCTCCGTGCGTGTGTGTGGAGGGGGGAGAGTGCTGACGCCGCCCCTGCTCTCCTCCCAGGTCTGCCCGGTGCGTCCTGCAGGGCCACAGCCTGCTGCTGGGCTCGGCGCTGCGGAGGCTGGCTCTCCGCGGCAGCTCCCTGGCCACCCTGGCGCAGATGAGGCTGTCGGGGAAGAGGCGCGTCCTCCAGGAGCTGCGGGAGCAGCGAGCGCTGGGGCAGGCGTCCTCCCCGTGCCTGGACGAGCACCAGTGGCAGCTGCGCAGAGCCCTGGTAAGGCCCCACCCGGACAGCAGCGCCCCGCCAGCCCGCGCCTCCTTTCTCCTCAGCGGCCTCCTCGGAGGTCCTGCCTCCCCGACAGCCACATCCCGAGGCGCTCGGGTTAGGCTTCTGCATGCGGGTTTCGAGGGAGCACGATTCGCCCATGTAAGCGAGGGCAGCGGCGGCCCGCTGCAGGGCACCGCGTGCCAGAGGGTTCTGGGGCGGTGCTGCTCAGTGCGGGGGTCAACTGGACGTCCGCGTGAAGTCGGAGGGGTGCGGCTGTCGTCAGGGGCGTGGGAGAGAGGCCTCTCCGGTCTCTTTGAAGGCTTTAACAGACCGGAAGAAAGAATCTATAAGTTGAGCTGGGATCCGACCCGAGTGGGCTGACTCAGGGTCTCCGGCAGGCAGCCACGGACCTGCGGGAGCGGCTGGCGTCCTCCGGCCGCGGGTCAGGCTCGAGCCCACAGTCTCTTCAGCTCTGCCAGGAGCTCTGGGAGGGCACGCGGGCTCGCCGCGGTGCCGGCCCCCTCACTTCTTTCTTCCCTGTTCCTACGAGGAAGCCAGTCCTCAGGGCCTGTGTGCCCTGCCTCAGCTTCTGGGATGTCCTGAGAGACGCAGACCTGCCTTCAAAACCTGGCTCTGCTGTGTGGCTTTTAGAAAGTCAGTCAACTTCGCGGAGTCTTCTTGTTCTCATCTGTCCTAGTGTTCAGGCCTCATGATGTCCTAGAAGGATGGGCAAGGCCCCACCTGTGAGGGACCACAGAGGGCACCGGCACACGGGGCGCTCGGGGGTTGCCCTTGTAGAAGAGGGGGAGCAGTCACCAGGCCAGAGGCCGCCTCTTCCTGCCCTTTCTCGGTCCCTTTCCCCGAGTCTGGGCCCAGGCAGGACCACGCCCACCGGGTCCCGAGGCATCCCGCACGGCCTGGTGCTTCCTCTGCAGGAGGCGCGCATGCGGGAGGAGGCTGGCCGGCTGGAGGAGGAGGCGCAGCGGACGCGGCTGCAGCTGCAGCAGCAGCTCCTGGCTGAGGCCCAGGAGGTCGGACGGCGGCTGCAGCAGCACACGGAGCGCGCCGTTGGCCAGGCACTGCTGGGGCACGCGCGCAACGCGGCCATCAGGAGCCGGGCCAAGGACAGGGATGACTTCAAGGTGCGTGCCAACCCCCATCCCCATCCCCTGGGACACCCAGGACCGGGAAGAATTGGGGTGGGCTCTGAAGGCTGGGTCTGCTCTGGCAGCGCCTCACGGACCTTCCGGCCTTGCAGAGGTCATGCGACTTCCCCAGGCCTTACTTTTCTCATCTGTAAGATGGGATCTCCCCGTAGCGTTCTACGGCAAGGAACCACAGCAACAGATCGCAGGTTTCCTGTCTGCTGCTCGGCCTGTGTTGTGTCGTTCTGACGGCTGGCTCAGTCCTTACAGCAGCCTCAGAGAGACGCGATGTCACCCAGAGCCATGCAGTGGCAGTGGCAGTGGCAGACCCAGTCCCTCTCCCCGGGGGAGATGCGTGCTTTCTTGGCACACAGAGGCTTTTCAGAGTCCGTCCTGACAGCTGGGAGGCACTGCTAGAATCGGCCTGGCTTGAGTAGGCGGTGGCTGCCAAAGTGACCACCAGCAGGGATAACACTGGCAACAGCGAGAGGCGCTGTTAGCACCGCACCCGAGTCCAGGTGCGTCTGCCTCCCTGGTCGCAGCACTCTCCCCCAGCCCCACGCCCTCTGCCGCCGCATGTGGGCACGAGCACTGGCTGCCTGCAGCCGGCCCTCGCGAGTCGCCTTGCCCACGGCTGGGGCTGTGCCCTGTGCCTGGCAGACGCCAGCGGTGCCGCAGGCCCAGGACCAGCAGGCAGCCCTCGAGCCGCGAGTGCCGGAGCCTCTCCAGGCAGCCTCCAAGGGATTGCTTCATCTCAGCAGGGAGTCACTCCGCTCCCTGTGCAGCAAGGAGTGTGGACCCGCCTTCTGCGACATCGTGTTCGGGATGTCGCACGGCTGCCTCAGGCCGTGCCGACGTCAGGCTTGTGTCTGGCTGGTGAAATGGCCCTGTCACCTGTTTCCCTAAAATTTTCCAGATCTTACCTAATAATCATTGCTCATTGCATGAAAAGGTAGTAAGATGCAAGGGTGTCCAATTTTGTCCTCAGCTTCCCAGAGGGACTTTGAGCTGGGATTAGAAACTAAGGACCTCTACCCACATCTCACATCTGCAAGAAAGAACACTGTGCTTAGTTTCTAGAAGAATGGACGTGTGTTCCACACCTGTTCCCAGAGCGCCAGGCCCTGCAGTAGGGCTGGGGTGCAGTGGGTGGCTGGGCAGTGTCCCTGCAGTAGGGCTGGGGTGCAGTGGGTGGCTGGGCAGTGTCCCTGCAGTAGGGCTGGGGTGCAGTGGGTGGCTGGGCAGCGTCCCTGCAGTAGGGCTGGGGTGCAGTGGGTGGCTGGGCAGTGTCCCTGCTGTAGGGCTGGGGTGGAGTGGGTGGCTGGGCAGTGTCCCTGCAGTAGGGCTGGGGTGCCGTGGGTGGCTGGGCAGTGTCCCTGCAGTAGGGCTGGGGTGCAGTGGGTGGCTGGGCAGCGTCCCTGCCTTCGCATGCTCTCGGGGTGCTGGCCGCAGCCCAGGGACCCGGCCGGGCGTCCTGGAGACGCTCCGCTGTGGGGGCAGGCAGCGCCGGCGTGGCTGAGTCCAGGTTGGAAAAGTAGAACACAGGAGCAGGTATGTCTGCTGCTGTGCACGAGACGCCAGCCAGAGAGACCGTGGAGGAGGAGAGAGGGACGGCCAAGGATGGAAGGCCTGGAGGCGGAGGAGGGACATGGACGCGGCTCTGCTGGGCAGGCAGATGGGCGCAGGGCTGGACCACGAGGCTGGGGGGTTTGCCCACCGGAAGGGAAGGGAAGGGGCTCCTGCTGGGAAGGGCAAGGCAGAGCCCAGGCTCCCTCCAGGGGTGGAGTCTGGAGTCAGAGCCCCCTTTGTGGGTAGGGAGGCCGGGCAGAGGAGGAGAGAACGCTGCAGTCAGGGGTGAGCTTGGGAGTCAGACCACTTGGGCTGTGCAGTCTCCGCACCTCTGCAGCGCGGGCTCCACACCTGCGTGTCCAGGAACATTGCTCAGACAGTGCTATGAGAACACGTGGCCGGCACAGCCCTTGCACACAGCCACTCGGTAGTAAGTGCTCAGTGACAAGTGGAGGCCAGGAGCCGCAGCTTGTGCCTGCAGTCCCAGCTGCTCGGGAAGCTGAGACAGGAGGATGGCTTGGGGCCAGGAGTGTGAGACCAGACTAGGCAGCAGGCAAAACCCCACCTCTACACAAATAACAGCAATAATAAGTGTTTACTTTTTCTTGCCCAAAGCCTGGCACCATCCAATAAATGTTGAAATGGGCACTCTTTTGTCTTAACTTTCTGAGTTTTGTCCATAATTTTATGAAGAAAAGGACAGTCACTCTGTCAGTGCACAAGCAACGCAACCCCGATAACGCAGTGCCTCAGCGTGCCTCTTTTCTGCTTTGGTCGGAAGGTGCTGCAGCCTATAGCTGCAAGTAGCAGAAAGCCCTACTAAGATGGCTCAAATAAATGAAAGTCACTTATCCCATGCAACAAGAAATGTGAGGTGGGTGGTCCCAGCTGGCACAGTGGCTCCCTGTGATGTGACCAAGGACCAGCCTCTTTCTTTCCAATTCACCATTCTTGGTTTTTATTTTTTGCCTCATAGTGTCAAAATGTTCACTGCCTCTCCATACATCAGGTCTGCATTCCAGGCAGGAAGAGGGAAGTGGCAAAGTCTTTCACCCACTGAGGCTTCACATTAATGTCCAGGGAGGGCAGAGCTCCCCGCAGACTTTCCCTGGGCGACACAGCCAGCCTTAGACCATCCCTAACTAGGAAAACACGACAGTATCAGGACCGGTTTAAACCAGCCCCACACTCTCTGCCCCCGACAAATCCCAGTCGGAGGGTAAGTGGAAGATGTGGAGCAGGTCAAGGGGAGCAGGACACGGATGGGCCACAGTGGCTGCCAGTGTGACCTCTCTGCTGGCGCCACCCTTCCTCCCCGCAGAGGGCGCTGGTGGAGGCGGCAGCGGAGAGCGTCCACGTGACCGGCGCGGGCATCCGCCACCTTGTGCAGGCCTACGACCAGCGAATCGGGAAGATCGTGCAGGACCACGCGGAGAGGAAACGGCAGCACCTGAAGGCCCTGCAGGGTACGGCTCCCTCCCTGGGGAAGCCCCAGAAGAGACAGTCCACACTTTTAGTTTGGGGCAGGATAGCATGTCAAGTGCTTCAAATTTTATTTGGGGGAATTTAATTTTTTAATGCTTTTATGTATTTATTCATCCCCTGCTTTGTCCCAAACGGCTTTTTAAAAAGCCTTAGAGAAACACATGCACAGGGAAACACAGTGCGATAGGACTTTTTGTAAGTAGATAAGTCAGCTCAAGACAGGGCAGGAGACAGAGTTGGGGAAGGTGATCATCTAGGACATGTGCCCACAGATCCCACTTAGATGGGAAATGGGTTTGTCTCCAAGCTTCCTGGTAGCCAAGGAGGTGGAAACATACTTGATTAAAGCCACTGCAGTGGCCATGAGCGAGAGCAGGCCCATGGCCCTGAAATGTTCCCGAGACCCCAAGAATTTTCTCCTAAGGGCTCTTGTAAAAGGCAACCAGGGTGATGGAAAGGACAATATCCCCAATTCCAGTAATAACACACAATTTACAATATTTGAAACGTCATTTCTTGAAGCCTACTTCTGGTAGCACCCTTCCCTGTCAGAGCTTCCAAACAGGGAAGCATTCCCCATTCTCCCAGGAGCTCCGCCTGGATCGTCCCAGGGCTGAGGTTGGACTCGATCCCTGGAGGAATGGGGGTTAGGGTTAGGGTTAGGGCACAGGGCCGGGCAGCCTTCTCTGGGTGCTGTTCCTCAGCTGAGCTCAACTGCCACTTGGTCTTTCCCGTGTCCTGGGGATTAGAGGCCTAGATTCCAATAAAATCTGGGCACATGCCCAGAAAGGTGCCCGATGACTGCAGATTCTTCATGGTTTTCCAAAGGAAAGTTGGGCTTGTTTAGCAGGAGACAGGCATGAATGCTTGCCACTGCAGGACATTCCAGATCCAGGAGTGTCACTGCTCCTCACTAGGCCTCCATTTCCCCATATGTGGGACCAGGGTTGGACTCACCCACACATCTCAGCTCTTATTTCCTGCTTCCCTGACTCCCCGACTCTAATGTGGGGTTTTCACAGTAAATGCATTGAAACAATGTAGCTGAACGTAACCACTGAACTCCTTTTTCTTCATTCAGTAAGCTGTTCTGTTTAAGAGTCACAATGTTCCAGGCTGGAGGTCACCCAGCTCCGATCTCTGTATGGGTGCTAGCAAGCCCGGGGCCAGCCAGGAGTGGCCGCTGTGCGTCTCACAGCTAGCTAGGTGTCACAGGACTCCTGGCAGGGCTCCCTGGACCTGCTGGCTGGTGAGCTGGGTTATCCGGCTGAGTGAACCTTGAAGAGGGCATCCTGCGGTTTGCTGCCCAGCCAGGACCTCTCAAGAGCAAAGGGTGCTGTTAATTATTCTCCTGGGCTGATGGCATGAGCCAAGCCTGTCCTGGGTAACCCAGGGCACCTTGTCATTTCACGTGTAGCCTTCTAAAGGCCATGAGCACCTACATTTGCAAACAGGAAAGAGCTCCGAGAAGTGGGGCGTGACTTCAGGGGGCGACTGCCCAGACCCAGACGGCGGGGCATTCGTCAGGCGCTGGGCTCGGAAGGCTCGCCGCCCTCTGGCGCGCTTCTGCTTGCTGCGGCTTTGTGAGCTCTGTGTGGCGCCTCCGTGTGGGGCCGGTCCCCTGCCTCCCTCTCTCTGCACACGAGAAAGCGGGGGGCAGAGGGCAGCGGGGCAGGTTCCTCCTGCCACACACGATGGGGTCCCGCACAGTCACGCCCTTCCGCGCAGGTGTCCAGGCACAGCCTTCGAGAGCAGTGTGTCCTGCTCTCCCCAGAGCCCCGCCCCGCCCCGCCCCGCCCCGCCCCAGCGGCCCTCCGCGCCCTGACTGTGTGTGCTCCTGGCCTAGGCGAGAGGGTGGAAACCTACCGGCTGCGGAAACAGCAGGAGCGCGGCGGCCCTTCGGGGAGCAGGCTGGCAGGCGGGACGCTCGGGGCCACCCTCGCTGTCCACCAGAGGTGAGTCTGCACTTCTTGGGTGCCCCGAGTAGAGGCCACTCTCTGCCTCCTCGTGTGGCACGACTGCCGGTGACACATCAGCACGCGGCGCTGCACACGTCTGCTCGCTGACGTGCCCTCATCTGCCTCTCGCACAGCGCGGGAGCCTGAGCCTTGCCCACCTGTGGTCTGGCGCAGGTCAGCGAGCGGGTCCAGGCGTGGCGGTGGCTTCCTTACAGCCCTGGCAGGGCGCTCCGCTCTCACCACAGCTCGGCGTCCCATGCAGACCCGAGACGGGACTCGAGTGCAGGCTGCTGCCCTGAGCGGCGGCCCGGGAGGCACCCGGGAGCAGGACGTGCAGAGGGGACGGGTGTGTTCTGCGGCCGTGACTGTCATGGCCACCACAAGCTTGGCAGCACACGCCACACACAGCTGACTGTCTTGCAGTGCTGGAGGCCAGAGGTCAGGGCTGGCTCTTGCAGCCCCTTTGGGCCTCCCAAGGCCCGCCTCAAGGTGTTGAGCGGCCGGGCTGTCCTCCGGCCAGCCAGAGGAATCTGCTTCTGAGCACGCGCTGGCTGCTGGGCACCGCGGCCCTGGTTTCCTCGGAGGCATGCCTTAGCCCAGGCCGCCCCACCTCCCTGTCTGTCCTTGCGCAGGCCCTCAGCGAGAAGCAGGGTAGCGTGCAGTCCTGCCCACACGTGGCCTCTCTCCTGCTGCTCCTGCCTCCCGCTGGAGCCCTTCCTCTGACCAGGGCCACCTGGTCACCAGGCTGCTCTCCAACCCTCGGGGCTGTATCCTTAGTCACATCTGCCATGTCTTGTTGCCACGCAATGTAGAGTCTTCATGGGTTCCAGGGACTAGGGCGCAGACATCTTGGGGGTCGTGCTGTGGCCTGTGGCGGTGGGAGCAAACCCAGCAAGTCTGTGGGAGGAGGGTTCCCACGGGCCCTGTGGGGACTGGGTGGAGCACAGCTCCAGCTGTGCTGCAGGGCCAGAAGGCAGGACGTCTGTGCTCCCCTTGCACACCGGCAGAAAGTCTGTCGTGGAGGTGTCCTGTCCCTAGCAACCAGGCACATGCTCCTGTAGCCAGAAAAAGCCCTAAAACGTAGGCACAGGCACTTGGCGTGAGAAGCCGTTGGCCATGCGGAAGCTGTCCATGGCCGTGCAGGTGACCTCCAGAGGGCTGTGGGTTTGCGGGCGCAGTGCCAACATGCCCTCGTAACGCCTATGCTTCACTTGGCCTTGACCTGGGGACCAGGGACAGTTCCTACCGCAGAGCGCTGACCTCAGCTGTGTCACATGAGTTGTCCAGCATCCAAGCCTCTCCAGCTCAAAGCAGAGCTCCTGAGGGCAGGGACTGTGAGTCTCACACCTGTGTCTCTCACCCTGTGTCTTATACCTGCACAGTACCTGGCCGGCCAGAGACACCTTAATGAATGAATGAGTGGATGGAGGGATGATGGGATCTTGTAGGATGAATAGGAGTTCACTGGGCAAAGACGAAGAGGGGAAAGGCATTCCTGCAGACAGCATGAAGCAAAGCAAGGCGGCATTGTTGCGCCTCTGGGCACGCCACTTGCATGGTTACCTGTGGATGCTCAACTTCTGCCTTCGGGTCTAGAATTCAGCCCCTTTCAGAGAATCTGCCCTAAAAGATCAAAGACGGCGGGGCAGTGGTGGGAACAGGGCGGCTGGATTTGAATGCTCCCATTTGCCGAGGGCCAGGGAAGAGTCAGCTGAGGGTGTGCAGCACGCAGGGAGGGAGGCGGGAGCTCCCGGGTCCAGGGATGTGGCCTCTGCCCCAGCTCTAGTCTCTGCATCCGAAGAAGCATCCTGTTTTGCAAAGGAGGGGCCAGGGCTCTTCTGAAAGTTAAAATTGGGGATGGGTGGCTGGCAGGACTCTGGTACTTTTGGGGGGATATTCCTCCCTTGGGGGTAAGATTGCTTCCTGGGGAGAAGATGCTACTCTCTTCTCAGCCTCTTTGCACCTGCATGGCCTCAGGGCGGACCACCTGTGGCCTTCTCCTTCCCCTTCCCTTTTCTGCTCTGTCCTGCCTGTGTCACCATGCCACACTGAAGATCACATGATGCGTGCAGAATTCTGCACGCTCCCAAGTTTCAAACAAGGGGTGTCCACTTCTTTGATGAGCCGCCTGCTAGTAGGGCCCAGTGAGTTGTGCCCAGGCTGGCCAGGCTCCTCTCGGGGCTCCAAGGGCTCAAGGGTGTCTCACAGCCACTGCTTGCCTCAACTCAGCAGGCTTTTTGGGGAGGTTCGTGCTGGGACTGGTGGCCCTGCCATCCCGATCAGTGTTGACTGCCTCCGTCCCCCCACAGGGTGCTGTCCCAGCAGAAGCAGCTCCTGGCCCAGCTCACTGTGCACCAGCAGGTGCGCCTGGGTGCCTGGAAGCAGCAGGCGAGAGCAATGGACCTTCTGGAAGCCCAGCTCGAGACCCAGCTGCAGGTACCAGTCGTTGAGCCGGGGCTCTGAAGGGCAGTGGCTTCAAGAGGAGTGGAAATGGCAAAAGGCCAGTCCCGTGCCATGGGTCAGCCACGGGTCAGCCACGGGGTGATGTGGGGAGACTCCCTCTGCCCTGCGCCTCCCACTGTGATAATGCATTGCCTCTCCATGGGACGGCGGGCTCCTGGAAGGCGGGCAGGCCTGTGTCACTTCCCAGAATGGCTGCAGTGCCCCCGACAAGCCAGTCAGCCCACAGCTGGTGACCCAGCAAAGAAACGAGCCTTCCCATGTGTGCAGGTTGCCACCAGGGAGCTTCTCAGAGTCAGGCTAACGTCTGTGTCACCCAGGCAGTGCTGGTGCTCACTGAGGTTTGCACTTTATCTGAAACATATAGGATGTGCAGCTCTCTTGGTATAAAGTGGATATTTTGTCACAGAAAAATCTCCTTAGTGTGAGATTATAAAGTCCAGCAATGAAGCAAAGTGGCCGCCTATACATAAAACATTTAACTAAATCCAAAAGGAAAGCACTTAACGATGTGTCCCCACCAGGTTGTAGTAACAGTGACAGTAAGAATGACAGCAGTGGGCCTGCGGTGGAGCATGCCTGTAATCCTGCCCCTCTGGGAGGCTGAGGTGTGAGGATCGCTTGAGCCCAGGAGTTGGAGGTTGCTGTGAGCTAGGCTGATGCCACGGAACTCTAGCGGGGCTACAGAACAAGACTCTGTCTCAGAAAAAAAAAAAAGAAAGAGAAAGAAAAGAAAAAATAATGACAGCAGTGGCTGTTGATGTTTAGTTATTGAGGGTCTGTGATAGACAGTTGCTCAGCTGAGCGCTTTACACACATTATCTAACGTGATTGTCCAGCACCTGAGGAGGTGGTCACTGTTATTGTCCCAGTTACAAATGGGGAAGCTGAGGCTGGCAGACGTTAGGTTGCCATCCAGGGTCACATGGTCAATAAGTCACTGCAAACCAGTTCAACCTCTGTGGAAAGCAATATGGAGATACCTTAAAGCAATACCAGTAGATCTACCATTTGATCCAGCAGTCCCATTACTGGGCATCTACCCAAAAGAACAAAAGTCACTCTATAAAAAAGACGCCTGCACTCGAATGCTTATTACCACACAATTTACAATTGCAAAGATGTGGAAACAACTGAAGTGCCCATCAATACATGAGTGGATTAATAAAATGTGGTATATGTATACCATGGAGTACTATTCAGCTTTAAAAAACAACGGTGATCTAGCACCTCTTGTATTTTCCTGGACAGAGCTGGAACCCATTCTACTAAGTGAAGTATCCCAAGAATGAGAAAACAAGCACCACATGTACTCACCAGCAAATTGGTATTAACGGATCAACACCTCAGTGGACATGCAGGAGTAACATTTATCCAGTGTCGGGAGGGTGGGAGGGGGGAGGAGGGGACGGGTGCACACAAACACAATGAGTGAGATGTGCAACGTCTGGGGGATGGACACGCTTGAAGCTCTGACTCTAGGGGGGAGGGGGGAGCAAGAGCAATATCCATAGCCTTAACATTTGTACCCCCATAATATGCTGAAAAAAATAAAATAAAATAAGTCATGGCTTCAGGTCTGCCTGGGTAAACCGGTGTTGGCCGGTGGCAGCCCAGACTGTGGAGTCAGGCGGAAGCGGGCTAGCCCCTGCTCTGCCGCCGCCGCCACGGCAGGTCGCTGAGGCCGTCTCTCCGCGTCCTGGTCCGCACAGCTGGCCGTCGTGTGAGGGCGGACAGTTCCCTGGCAGCAGCTGGCAAGTGGCAGCTCCCTTCCTCGCGGTGTCTCCCTGCCTGTGCGTCTTGGGAGTGTCTTAGAAAACTCTCCTCCCGTGGGGGCAGCGTCCTGTCAGCCTCAAGGGTGTCACCTCCACTCTGCAAAGGCATTTGGAGAGGCGGAGGAGGGCAGGGAGGCCCCACTGACCTCTCTGCTTGCATTTCAGGAAGCCGAGCAGAGCTTCGTCTCCGAGCTGGGAGCCCTGGCCCGGCTGCCCCTTGCTGAGCGCAAGCTGCTCCCCAGCGAGCCCGGGCTGCCGGGTGAGTCGTCGCGCGCCGGGCGCTGCACTAGAGCAGGAGGCACTCGGGCTGCGAAATACAAGTCTAGTCCCGCTGCCACCATCAACTAGCTGTGTGGCCTCAGGCTTTGCGCCTAACCTCTCTGGGCTTTCCTGCCCTTGGCTGTAACTGATCAGGCTCAGTTAGGACACACCACACAGCCCTTGCTCTCTGGCATTTGATGATTCTGGTTCCTGGGTCTGCCATCCCCCAACTGCGTCTCTTCTCTGACTCTGTTTCTCCATCTGTGAAGTGGAGATAATGAGCTCTCCTCCTCCTGCCAGCACCACTCCAGTGATGTCCCAGGATGTAGTACCTGGCGTGGGGAGAGTGACTCGGAAGGTAGTGTAGACACGCAGATCTGTTGAGATAGAAGCCATCGCACTGGGGCTGTGTTTCCAGCTTCTTGCTGCTCTGTTAAGTCTTGAAGTCAGTGGGGTGGAGAGGAAGCAAAGTGCAGGCCCGGCAGACCTGAGTTCAAATCCCAGCTCTAGCTCGAACCAGCTGTGCTGGCTGTCGGGGCCTCAGTTTCCTTATCAGTGAAATGGAAATAATAGCTTAGGGTCCTGAGCACACATGTGGCAGAGCTCAGAGGGCGCTCAGAAATGTCAGGCTGGGTTGGAGTGAGGCCCAGAGAAGTTGTCAATTGTTGAAAGTCACAGAATGCCTGAGATCATCTGTCTTCTGCAGAGAAGCCCCTAAGGACCAAAAGGAAGAAGCCCCTGTCCAGGGAGAGGGCTGACCCAGGGGTGCCCAACAATGAGGACCCTGCCTCTGGGGACCACACCTCAGGATCGCTCAGGTACAATGGGGTCCCCAGCTTTTTGCCTATGGGGGAGCACAGCACGTGCACTCAGCGACCATGTGCCCGACGCCTGGGCGGGAAACCCAGCCCCCTCAGAGGCATGGCTGCGAACGCCCAGGGAGTGCGCTGTGTGCGTGGTTTGAGAGCAGCAGGCTGTGGGAAGTGCTGGCCTGATGTCCCTGCCACTGCCGGGGTCCCAGTTGGCAGGCAGGCTGTGACCTACCTCCATGCCCCATCAGGGTCCAGCCTGAAGAGCCCGGCAGTGTCTCCAGGGCTGGCCACGGGGCACAGAGCTTCAGCATTTGCAGCAGGGTGGTCTGTCCCTGCAGCTCAGTCGTGGCACTGGATGGTCGCCCACCCAGCAATGGGAACTGGGGAGTTTCTAACAACCCATGTCAGAGTGAAATTGTTTTGATTGCCAGTTGATGCCTTTCCATTTGATCCAGTTGTATGAGCTGGGGACAGTTGTATGTGCGTGGGACAGGCACAGGGCCGGAGGCCTGACCATTGCATTTCAATCCCTGTTTTAAGCAACAAAAGGCTGAGTCAACAGGAAAGTGACGCTGGTGACGGCGAGGGCTCAACGAAGACGCCCAAGAGAAGGAGCGACCTGTAGTTCCGGACCAGTGGGGGCTGAGCCTGCAGCCCTGGCCGGGGTGCCTGTGGCCGGCGCCCCTCCTGCGGCCGTGGGAGGGCTCGCGGGTCTCCCCTCGGCCTCACAGCCTGTGCTGACGGGTGAGCGAGGCTGCTGGGAGGCTCAGAGGAGCACGCAGGCCCCGGGGCGGGGAGCCGTGGAGCCCGGGGAGGCCGGCATCGGAGCCGCAAGTCTGCATCTCCTTCGGCTTCGAGCCCTGGCTCAAGTCCTCGCGGATCTCACTCTTCCGCGGAGGTTCCCCTTTTCTGGCTCTCCTCCTGCCCTGTAACCCAGCCCCAGCCCTCGGTCCTGACGCCACCGAGCCTGCCTTTCCTGAGCTTGAGGTGGTCTCACTGCCGCCTCGGGCCCTCTGCCCCCCGCCTCTCCGAGAAGGCTGCCGGGCGGGTCTCCGCGGTGCTGGTGTTTTCTGATCTGAGGCCTCTGTCTCGGCCACCTCCAGCGCCCCGTCCTCTTCCTCCCGTGCGCCTGGCCGCGGGCTGCCCAGCACTCTCATCGGGACCCACTCCCGGCTTTGTGTTCTCCTGCCCGTCGGCACAGCTGGCAGCTGAGGCCTGGTCACCACGGGGGGGGGTCTGCTTCTCAGGGCCTGATGACCCTGACGAGGGGGTCCCCGCCCGAGTCCTGTCCTGACCCACCTGGGGGCCGAGGACCCGCAGGTCTAAGTGCTGCTGCCGCGTCTTCTCGGGGAGGGAGCTCTCGCCCCGCCCGCGGCACACCTGTGGCTGGGCCTCCCTGGAGGAGTGATGTCCGGGCACCTGCTGCTCCTGACGGGTGAGAGGCATCCAGAAGCCTCCAGACCAGCCACAGGCCGCCGCAGCCGGGAGAGGCCTGCCCCAGCTGGAGAGGAAGTTCTCAGCACCGGCGCCGTGGACATGTAGGCGAGCGGACTCTGCCTGGGGAAGGACCTGTGCTGTGCGTGCCAGCACCATCCACCGCCAGTGTGACAGCAGAAATGTCGGAGACATTGCCAGTGTCCCTTGGCCCTGGTCACATCCGGCTGTGGGAGCCAGTGTGTCCGCTAATTCCCAGAACACGGTGGCCCTTTGGATTTTCTGGGCCATTTGCGAATTTACATTTCTTAAAACCTAAATTAGACTCTCTCAGGCGAGGAGTGGCCCCTTCCTGGAAGAAGTACCCAGACCCCCCGCCGGGGCATCCTTTGTCCCCACAGGGCGGAGGTGCCGCCTCCAAGGTTGGCCAACAGCTCCCTCTGGTGGCCCAATAAAATAGTTCCTGAGTCTGTGGAGTCTTCCTTGGGATATTCTTGGAACCTGCTCTGCATAGAAATCACTTGTACTTTGTCACATGGGCGCTCTGTGCAGAGGCCTTCTGAAGCAGGTGGCTCCTGTGTTGGGGACACCCGTTTTGGTGACGCGTGTGTGGTAAATGCAGACTTGCTGGCAGCATGGGGATTGGCCAGTCGCCTTGAGACTGGATCTCTGAAAGCATCGATTTAAAGGCCTCCAGGCCCGACCCAAGCCCGCCCCTCTGAGGGGTCCCCTGGTGGCCCCCTCCACAGGCCTGCAGCCTGACTCCCTGGCTGCTGCATGGTCACCGTTTTGGCAATGTGTCACTTGCTGTGGGACCCTGCCCCTCGCTGCCCAGCTGTTGTGCTGGGCACGGTCTGGGGTGCAGAGCTCCAGGGCAAGGCCTGTGCACTGCGTGTTCATCACATCGCAGCCGGCCCTGTCACTGCCCGCAGGAGCATCCTGGAGACTTCCATGGCGGAGTCGCCTCCCGGATCAAAGTGGCCGAGGTGATCTGGGGACCTGGATGTGCAGCCGTGCCCAGGCACAGGCGTGGGGACGCCCTGGCGCTGGTGAGGCTTGAAGGACGGAGGGGCTGAGCCATGAGGATCAGTGACGGGCCCAGGGCACATCTCAACCGCATCCCCCACTTCGGTTACCATCCCTGGTTCTTATTATGGGCTGTTATGGTGCTGGCGGAGGTGGAATTGGAAGGGGCCTCGAGAGATGAGATAGTGAGATTAATCAGGGACTAAATTATTTTATGGAAACGGCACCCTCCGACCTGAGCTTGAGACCCCAGGATGAAGCCAGCAGGGTTCACAGGGTCAGCGACCCCCCCAGGACTCTCCCGGCTTATCCAGTATCCCCGATGCTCGGGCTGGGGCACAGCTAACTGCGCTGCCCCACTCTGCCCCCGCTCTGCCCCCACTCCACTACCCGCCTATCACGCCTTCTCCAACACAGCTGTGCCAGCGGCCATGGGTGGCTTTCCCTGGCTCTGAGGTGAGAAAGCAAACTCTTTTCCATGGGCGGGAGGCCCAGTGAGGCCTGGCCTGAGCCCCCCCAGCCCGGCCTGTGCCCTTCCCTTTCCTCTGCGCCCGGCTGTGCCCTCTCACGCCCTGCCTGCCTCGGGCCCATGCCCGCGATGTGTGCTCTATCTGGAGCACCCCTGCACCCCCAGCCCTCCGCCCTGTCGGCTCCAAGCCGCCCTTCACAGACTCAGGACTCGTCTTCAGGAGGCCCCGGCCTGGCCCCAGGCCAGATGAGGCCCCTTAGACTCTGTGCTGTGTGCCCTGCTGCGGGGTGGCGGGCCGGGCCGGGGTGCACGATGTCCCTTTACTTCTTGTCCAAGCCCAGAGCCACACACAGAAGTGTACAGTGGGACCCTCAGAACATACCCCAGGAAACCAAACTCCACTAACCGTTACCCAGACCCCCAAACGGCCCAGGCCCCAGTGTCACCCGCTCTGCAGGGACATCAGAGGAAAAGGGAACAGCAGTCCTGACCGAGTGCGGCTGAAGCCTGGGCACCGCGCCGCGTGCCCTGTGGAGCTGCCCGACAGCAGACGCGGCTCGGCGCACACGGGCCTGGCCTGTACGCTGCACCGTGGAGCCCGGGCTGTCAGGCCCAGCGGGCAGCTGCAGGGCGGCGGGCGCTCCCTCTGAGGACCCCTGCAAAGGAGCTGGCGAAAGGCAGACCAGGAGGAGAAAAGGCAGAGTCCATTTAGCACGCACAGCACGGGCAGTGGGGTGTGACGGCCGGTAGCCGGCGAGGTCGCAGGCTCCTGTGCCTTCTTCGCCCAGGGAGGCGGGTGGGGAGAGGGCACTCCAGGGGGCAGTGAGTGGGCTGGGAGGCAGAGGGCCGTGAATGATTCTCTCTGAAAGCCGAACCGTCCTGATGGTTTGGGGTGAAGGTCAGCTGGACCCCACGTGGCGTATGATGTTCAAACTCCTGTGATTTTAATCTCTGTTGGTGGAATTCCAGGAAAAGGGTGGAAGGCAGCTGTGTTGCTCTCTGGAGTCCGGCCTCCAGGCAGGTGCGGGAGCTTCCAGAACGGCCTCTATGCCTCTGGAGGGCCAGGGCTGAGAGACAGGAGGGGCTCGGAGGGGCCAGCAGAGCCACGCACCATACTTGGGGCTACTGTTTTCTGATCCCCAACACAGTGTCCGAGGCTGTGTGTTTCCTGAGGCCAGCCATCTCCTCAGGGAAAGGAAAGGGCTCCTTCCAGGCGATTCCTCCCTGGGGAAAACGAGAGAGACGGGTGCTACAGGTCCCCACCCTTCTCCCGCAGGGAGCGGAACCCCGCCCTGCGAGATGGGAGATCGCATTCTCCATTCTCCCCTTGAGGCCCCTTGCAGAGAGTGCACTTCGGTGCTTCGGGTAACAATCTGACTGGCGTCTGACTCTCCCCGGGACGCACACCCATCGTGTTGCCCTCGGCCAGCCACGTGACGGCTGGCGTGCCATAGGCGTCCGCAGCCACGCGGTGTGGGGGGGCTGTGTCACGCTCTTCCTCCCGTGCTTTAGGGATTGGGCTGCATTCAGAATCACCCAGGTGCACGTTCAAAACAGATTCGCAGGCCTCTCCCAGAGCCCCCGAGTTAGCAGGTTGGACAGGAGACCCAGGAAGCTGCTTTCCCCCACTGGGCCCCGCTGGCGGGTGCGTCCACGTCCCGGTGCACCTCCCGCCCTCCCCAGTGGCCTGAGATCTGGTGGCTGTGCTTTGCGGTCAGCCGCTCGTCCACCTTCTCTGCATGTGGTGGCCGAACAAACATCTCTCAGGTCCCCAGCAGCAAAGGAGCAAAGACGACCGGCCGCCCCAGCCGCTGCACGCTGGGACCCTTCCCTGCGTTGGCGTGGAGGTAGGCTCCCCGCCGCTCAGCCAGGGATCGAGAGGCGGGGTACTGAGGCAGGCTTGCTCCTATGAGACGAGCGCCCCCCTGAAGGACGTGGGGGCTTGAAGACGCTTTGCTCACCCTGCTGAACCGTCCAGGGCATCAGAGGCCTGCCCTCCCTCCTCTTGGCACCCAGACCTGCATCGCAGCCTGCCCGCTGTCTCAGCCCCCGGCCCCCTCCCCGACGTCCCTCACAGGCATTTCCCCCAGTAAATGTCTTGCTAGCATCTGACCCTGCCTAGCGGCCTCGCCTCCAAGGACTGGCACTGAGGCACCGACCCACTCAGGCTTGGCAGCCCTTCAGCCTCCTAAGAACCCTGGGCCGGGCAGTTCTGGAGCCCGGCCCTGCCCGTGCGCCTGCTCTCGGGCGGCCACGCGCCGCCTCCCTCCCAGAGGTGAGCAGAGGCGAGCTGTAGTAGATCGGGGCCTCCGGAGGGGTCCCCCGCACTGGCTCTCGCCCACAAGGCTACACGCCATGCTAAGCCGGGAGTGACGGCTCTCGGAGAGCACAGGGGGATGTTGGGAAGCGGAGTGTCCGTCCCCGTTTGCTATGAAACAGGAACTTTGGAAGTCGCAGGTGTCACGCTTACCTCCAGATACGGTAGCCTGGACAAAGGCAGGTGGAGGTCACAGTGGCCTTCCTGCTCCAGGGTTAGGGGCTCTGGTCACTGCAAGCTGCCTACCCCTCCACAATCCAGGCATCAACAGGAAACCAAGCTACCCGTTGGAATTTCACTGCTCCCTGACAGGGAAAGAGTTTGCAGTCCACAACCAGGAACAATGACTAGGCTGCCTGAGTGTTGATGGGATTCCCAGAAAATCCCCAGGGGGCCCGCAGACCTGGCACAGGCTTGCCGTGATTCTCTTCCCGGGAACAGGCCCATGAGTGAGTGAGAGCTTTACTCCGGAGCCAGGCGGGCCCGGGCCCCAGGACCCCTTCCTGCAGGACTTCTGCAGGTCTGCACCAAGTGGAAAACAGAAACTTCAGTTTGCTAGGAGTCCCTTTTGTTTGGGAATCCTTTTTTTATACTCTTTCACTCTATAACTTGACTTGCCTGGAAAGAAACTTCAGGCAGATGGCATTGTAATGTGCATCACTAAGCCCTCACGCCAGGTGCTCAGTCTTGGACTGAGCCTTCATAACTGTTAAAAATAAATTCCTTTTCTTTGTAAGTTGCCTAGTCTCAGGTATTCAGTTATAGTAGTACAAAATGCTCTAAGACAGAAAATTGGTACCAGAAGTGGGGTCCATAAAAATTAGCAGACACTACGAACCAGGGCTGTATAACCTACCTACCCTCAAGCCAGTATTCAACATCTATTTAGCAGCACACTCTTGGACCCCTGCACTGGAGGCCCACATGTTTATGATCACCCCCTGTTGTAACTTAATGGGGGAAAGGGTGGTCTTTCCATAAATGGTGCTGGGTCAACTGGATGTCATGTGGGAAAGGGAAAACCTTCAGCCCAGCCTCACATTGAACATAAAGATTATTATGAAATGGCTCATAGAACTAAGCATGAAAGATAAAACTTCTAGGAGAAAACTTAGAAAGACTATTGCGATAGAGCCCCGCCCACACCACCATGTCTGCATCCTAATCCCTGGAGCCGTATGCTATGTTGCACGGCCAGGGGCAATTAAGGATGCAGGGCAATGGATGAAAGAATCACTAGCCTCCCCCTGAAGCTTTCTGGGAAACGGTCCCTCCTCCCAAGATCTCAAGAGACGGAAGAAATCATGTGCCTTAAAAGGAACGTTGCAGCCTGGCCTCCAAGAGCTAAGATGTGTGTCTGACCGGGACCCCGTCCCCTCTGACTGTGCCTCTCAGAGCTCCCGGGAAGCTGAGGTGGACGCGGGCTCCAGGTGGCGCTGGCTGTGGCCTGGGAGTCAGGCACAGGCCCCGTGGGGCTGACTCAGAGACAGCGTGCTGGGGCTGCCTGCCCTGCCTCCACTTCCACCCCGACGGCACTAAGGTGGGGAGGCGGAGAGCAGGGTGGCTAACTTACTCTTCTGGAAGTTTCCTGTGCTGCCCTTCAGTAGTCCAAGGCTGAACATCAAAACTCCTTTCCATCCATTCTTGATCTTTCTCAGTATTTAGTCGTATTTCGAGGACATCTGTAACTGTTTCTCAGCCAACACATCTCTGGACCTTAACCAAGGTGTCCTGATAAGGCTGAAGGGCAGAGGAGGGGAACACACTAAAACTTTTAAGGCGATGTAAGACTGGACCACCCAAGGCCATCTGCCTCAACGACCACAGAGCTCATTGTCAGGAATGAGGGTCTCTGGACTTCGAGGCGAACTGCCTGGGTCCTGGCTTCAAAGCCTGATTCTGCCACTTGCTGTGTGATCTTGGACAAGATTGACCTCTCAATGACTCAGTTTCCTCATCTGTAAAGTGGTGTTAATAGCAGTCCCTGGCTCGCAGAGCACCTGGCATATACCAAGTAGTAAACAGATATCAGCCCGTGTCACCAACACCATTATCATCGTCACTGCTACTACTAACAGCTAATGCTTGCTCAGCCGGAGTTTTTAATCCTCCTTTGATGTATATCTGGCTCCTGGGACTGGAGGGAAGAAATGTGAAGTGTAGGCGGTTAGACAACACAAGAAGAAAGAACCAAGGAAAGGCTGAACCGCAGGGAATGGTCACAGGATTGCAACCCATTTCTCAGAGGCCATCCGCCAGCGTCTTCTTCCCCTCTGGCTCTCAGGTCTGGGCCTCACCCTGCAGACGCCACGGGGCCACGGGCTGGCTTTCCCCACTGCCCTCCCCACTCCCTCCAGGAGCTGCCAAGAGCAAGTCCTCAGGGAGCAGCCACCGCCATTTGTCACCATGCTGGGGGACAGCCAAGCCCTGCCCCCACCCAGACACCATCACTGACATGGAAGCACCCAGTCAGGTCGGCGGGCAGTTTATGTTCTTTATTTTTTCACAAGCTTTGAATTCAGAAATAAGAGACACAACAAGTTGGTTGTTAAGTAAAAATGGGGTGATTACAAAGGAAAACTTTGTACAAAACTTTAAAAATATGACTGCCCCGTCAACCGCCTCAGAGGGACCAGGACTCAGGCAACCCGGAAGTGCTGTCACCCCCCATGGTCAGCCCTGGATGGGGACGGGGAGACCGTTCTCAGCGTGACCCCGGCTGGCTGGGGAGCACACGCAGCCCAGAAACAGCACGGCCAGGCGCGGGTGCCACAGACCGGGGTCTCTGACACAGGGCGTGGGCGGCGCTTCTCTGCAACCGAGCGGAAGCCCCGTCCTGAGGACTCACAGGCGGCCTCAGTGGGGGCGGGGCTGGCCTCTCTCTAGTGCAGACTTGGGGGCGATGAGGAAACATCTTCGCTCTCAGAGTTTCGGGCTGCCGAAGGCTTGCGGTCTCGGCGCCCTGTCTCTGTCAGTCCTCGGCAGCGTGCCCTCAGACGCACGCACAGGCGTGCACACGCAATCTATAACATGCACCGACTACCCTAGAACAGCTACAAGGGTGCAAAGGAGCCACCTCTCAGAGATCATGGACCAGTGGGGTTACAAGTGGAAGGGACAGAACAAGACGGCGCTAAGACCTGTGGCTCCCTGGGAAGGAAAATGAAAACGCCATGCTCCGAGGCGAACTCAGCATGAACACAGCTGTGGGCAAGGAATTTCCAAGCAAACACACCACACTAGTACCACTTCTTCCTAAACAAAAAGAACATCGTTCGATTTCCCCCTCCCTCCACCAGCACCAGCTAAAACCGTGGGTTCAAAACACTGACAGGGGAAGGGACGGACATTATTCCCAGAATCCTTCACTCTGGCTCCCGGGGCATCCGCGTTCAACCGAGGCTGGTGATGTTGGAGCGGCCACCGGGGGGCGCCACGATGCGGTGGCCAGTACGCCTGGGGTTGTTGTCATCTATCTGGGCACCTGAAAGAGACAGAGGCGGTCGCCCCGGTGAGATCTGTCCACCCGGCCTCCTGCTGCTCCAGGAGGCGTGCCCATCCCTAAACGCTCCCGCTGCGGCCTGGGCCGGACTCAGCCAGGACCACTTCTGGGAGCCGCGGACTTCCGCAGAGTCCACCGCTCTCCTCTGTGCCCCTCGGCCCCGGGGCCACCCTCTAGACGGGCCTGCTGACCCTGACGTTGCACAGTCCCTGTGAGCCGCTGCGGCTGTGGCTCAGGGCACCGAGCTTTTCTCCCCTGGTCTCACTTGTAGACAATGTGTCTTCCCAGCAAGTCAGGAACCTCCTAAAGGCCCAGGAATCAGGAATCAGACCTGGCCCTTAATACCTTTCTCCCTCATGACTATCTGTGCCTTGCTGGTTACATGTCTGCACTTTGAAAATACCTGCTGAACAAAGGGACACTGGGTCTTGCTTTGTTTCCACAGTGCAGCCTCACGCAGGTGTGCAGGGCATCCGTGAGGCCGCTGCTGACACTGAAGCATGCCTGCTGCTGGCAGCAGGTGGGGACACCCGCCAAACTGCCTGGGGGCCGCCAGGGCCAAGCAGTGGGCTGCAGCGAGGCCTGAGAGGGAACTGGGAGGACGAGGGGAGGGTGCGGGAGCGGGGCTAACAGGCTTTCCGCATCCCTGTTGTTCTTGTTCTAGGGTAACAAGGAGGGACCTCTGTCCACATCTAACTGCAAGTGTGCGATGTTTCACCGCGTGACGTGAGAACAGAGGGCCAGTGCGCAAGCTCCCTGAGCGCCTGTGCTGTCCCGCACAGCACTTCCCACAGGGAGCCAATCCCTGCCTCGCTCACTGTGCAGCACGTGAGAGTCTCGAGCTGCAGCTGGGGTCCCTTGTGCGACCTATTAGTCACCTTTACGCACCGGAAGCTGCTCCAGGAAAGGCGCGTGGAAAGGGAGGAGGGCGGCTTCGGCGCCGTCTGCATAAGCACCGAGTGGCGGCGGGCTCCCCAGCCCGCGATCTAAGTTGATGCTTCACCCCGTCTCCCTCTGCCCTTGCACTCTCTCGCTGAGTGTGTCGCCCTCCCCGACCAGGAGCTGGCAAACTATGGTTCTTCGACCAAATTCAGCCCATCATTTGTTTTTGTACAGTCCATAACCTGAGAATAGCTTTTACATGTTTAAACCGTGGCATACTAAATGGCTATTTCACATGATATCCTGGATTTCACCTCTCGGCTCTCGAAGCCTGAAGTATTTGCTATCTGGCCCTTTAACAAAGCCGGCTGATTCCAGGCTAGTCAGAGAGCTGCCCGCCCATGTCTGTTCCTCACCACTCTCCTAGCACCCAGCCCGGTGTAGCGGTCCCCTCATGATGGAGCATGCCTGCCGCCCCCACTCAGCCATCTGGGGACACTGCAGGCACCTGCAGGGGTGGCTGGGGTGAGTCTGCCGGTCACACCAACATGCGATTTTGTTGACACACATTTGCTGAGCACCAAGTCCTGGCATTCTGATTTTCTGGGGGCCTCAGTTTCCTCTTTTAAAAAATAGGAGTAATACCACTCTGCACACAGAGCTGTGAGGACAGATGCTTTCGAGAGCTGAGAACATGCCTGGTAACCTGCAGTGGGCGGGCAGGCTGGAGACACGCAGCACACACCCGGCCAGAGGCAGCTGCTGCCGTCTCGGGGTCCTCCCCCCACCCGACCCTACCACCTTCAGTAAGAGTGTCAAGCTGTCCCCAGGGCTCAGAGGACGAGCAAGGGCCAGTGTGGGGCCAACTCTTGTAAGCCAAGGTCAGTATCACCTCTTGCCTCCCCACACGGACCCCGCCCTCCTGACTTGGTGACAGCCCCAGCCCACTGTGCCCGCCCGGGAGGACAGGAGCAGAGTGGTCCACACCCCCTTCCACGTCCACTTGCACAGGGGCCGCTGCAGCTCCTACCTGATAAGCTGAAGTTGGACTGGTGGAGGTTCCTGATGGGCGGGGGCTGGTGTTTGGAAGGCGAAGATTTGGCTGAAGGAGCGGGAGTTGCATATTTGGGTGTAGCTGGCACCTCGTACACGGGACCGTCGTACATGCCCCTGGAAACCCCTTGCAATCCAGAAACCTAAACAGAGGGAGGGAGAGGGTGCCGATCTACACCTTGCATGTGTGCCTTCCATCCAGATTGGGCCAGAGGTAGGAGAGAAACCTGAGGTCACCTTGGATATGCATGTATGTATGCACACGCACACGTACCCTGACCCAGCCGCAGCTCCCCACTCCTCTAGAGCAGGTGACAGAGCGCCCTGACCCCACACTGGGCTCCTCCCTCTCTATAGCAAGTAGGCTCATTTTGGCACCAAGTTCAAAGACCCAGCACCTGCACATGCTGTTGACAGCCCTCCCTCTGGCCCTGAAGCCCTGCTCCATGACCACCTGGGCCCTTGCCTAGGCGCCCTGAGCCCTCCTCTCTGCACCTCCTGCTCTGCTTCCTGGGCGATGACCTTGCATTGACACCTCCACCCCGCCCACTGTGCACGTCCTTCCCTCACCAGGCCTGGTGCTTGGCCTCTGCCCACAGGCATGAGGAAGGAGTCCTGGGCCATGGGACCCCTGGCCCTCTGGCTCCTGCAAACTGATGTGTGGGCATTTGAGATCAGGCACCTGCTGCCATGAAAGCTTTTAACCACGGGCCTCGGGCTCAGACCAATTTAGAGGGAATGAAGCCAGCCAAGGAGTGTTTCTGCCTCGAGTGGGAGTCCCCGAGGGATGTACCTGAGTTCCCTGTCCTCACTCAGCCCCTGGCCGCACCTGGCCACTTATCGGGCCTGACGTGCCTCTGCTCCGCATCCACCGCTCCCGTCTGTGCACAGCGTCTGTGCACTTTGGCGTCGCTGACCTGGCGCTGCGCCTTCTGGGAGCTGCGGGGACCGCCGCAAACAGCACAGGGCGTCCCAGTGGCACTGGGAGTCCAAGAATGCCAGGCCTCTGGTCCTCGCCATCTAAGTTGTTGGTGCCACTCGAGAAGCACAAGAGGGGACCACACACACACATGCTCATGTACACACTGCACACACACTACAACTCATGCTCGTGCACACACACGCATGCACACACACGTGCATACATACACATACACATGCACACGTGCACACGTGCACACACACACAGCTGGTCTTTCTGCCAACAGCATCAGCTGTCCCATGTGCGAAGCAGGCTGCCGTGGTGACAGGAAGGTGCCGGCCACAGGTGGTGTTATCTCAGCTGTGAGGAAGCTCCCTTCTGAGTTGTGCTAGAGACAGGACGGAGCCTGCCCTGCCAGACAGACCTCCTGGGGCCAGTGCCAAGACGGAAAGACACGTGGAGACGGCAGGGAGGGGCGGGCAGAGGCAGCTCTGAAGGAGCACTCAAGGGCGCCAGGGGCTATCTGTTCCCATCACAAGGCCGGGCCTAGGGGTCTCCGAGCTCTGTGGCTCTGGTGAAGCCCTTCACGGCCCCTCGCATCAGAGTTCTGACCTGCACAGTGGGGTGCTGCAGGACGGCTCCCTCCCACAGCCCCCCCCGGCACACCCCCACAGTTCGCAAAGCCGGGACCTGCCTGGCCTCGTCCGATGCTCACTGCCACCCTGAGACAGGGGCGCAGGGCGGTGTCACTGCCCACGTGGCAGGAAAGGAAAGGGAAGCGCCAGGTGCAACAGCTGTGAGCCCCGTACACCAGGCCCCGACTCCCGGAAGGGCGTCAGCCACAGCCTGCCGCGCCGCGCCCGCTCACCTTATTCCGGATTTTGACCCGCTGGTAGAGGTGTTCAGGGAAAGGCTTCCGCGGGATGAAGCGGCCCACGCCCTTGCTGACGTTCACGTTCCCATCCTCGAAGACGATCTTGCCCTGGCTGATGACCACCAGCGGGGAGCCGTGGCACTCCATGCCCTCGAAGATGTTGTACTCGACCGCCTGCTCGGCCAGAACACAGCGTCACTTTCGCCCTGCGTCCCGACGTCTTTCACAACAGTGGTTTTGCCTGACATCATTTCATAGCATTTGGGGAAATACCTTTCTCAGGAGTGTGTAATACTCCACCGCGTGCTCCGCAGTGTGTGTGAGCAGCGCCCCCTGCTGGGCGCAGGCTGCTGGTGGCTCCGTGAAATGGAATTAACGCTGCCCTGGGCCGTTGTGGGTGGGAGGCGTCCCCTGGGGGGCGCATGTGGCTGCTCTGACTACACTGGACATCGCGTGTCTTTTAAAATGAAATGTCCTGTCTTTGAGACAGTCTGCTAAGATCAAGTTACTGGCTCGAGGGCTGTGAGCTTTCTTAAAGCACTTGTTGCATTTGCCAAGTTAGATAATGTCATTTATTTGTTTTTTTGTTAATCTGAAAGACAAAAGGACATTTCCTTTAAAACACACATTCCTTTCATTATACCTGACATGAATGCTTGGCCCTGTTTTTAACCGCCACTAGCCAATTGCTCTTTATTATTTAAAAAGTGGGTCATATACCTGATTGAAAGAAATAAAACGGTACACAAGATAAAAGGTTCCATAAAAAGGTACCTCTGCTATGTCAGCCTGAGGCAAATGCCTTAAAGAGTTTCCTCTGTACCTCTAGTTATTTTCTGTGCATGAATAATTGTCTCACACATAGGTAACTCCCGGCAGGTGGTTTTCACCTTAATTCTTCTCCTTGCCTCAGAGACTGTTCCAGATTAGCACACGTACACGGTTAAACTGCTATGCTGTATTTCATCACGAGACTGTACTGCCATTTATTCACACAGTTCCCAAGGATAAACAAGTGGGTCATTTCTGTGCTTTTGCTAAAAACAATGCTGAAACGCAATTTGCACACATGGATATGTTTACAGATGTAGAGTTTAGGACCAAAGAGTAAATGGATTTTCAATTTTGATAGATTTGCCCCCAAAAAGGCAACACTGGTTTCTAATCCCAGCAACCCTCTAGCTTTCCCGCCTCCTGCGGTATGGCAGCGTCTGCTAGGCAGCAGCCACGTACGGCAAATGTCTGTGAAACGCCTGGATCTCAGTTGCTAGCACAGATGAAAAACAGCATCTCACGGTTGTTACTTGCATTTGTTAATAAGTGAGATTGGGTCTCTTTTAAAATCAACACATACCATTTCTATATTTTTTTACTGTGTTAATTATGTTTGTACACATTATTCCATTTCTTAGAGTCCTGGTATTTTTCTTATTGATTTCTAAGTACATATGCAACGTTACAGAATGCACCCTTTGTTATGTGTGTCATGTATAAGGCAGAATGCACCCTCTGCCTTTAGAGCTCTATAGAAACTTGTTTTGTTTTGTTCATTTGTTTGTTCTTTGCCATACAGAGAGTGATTTTGTTTGATGTTTACGTAGTCAATAGTCAAATAGACCTTTGCGTATCTAAATTTTGTGTCATGTTTAGCAAGGTCTTCTCTCCTTCAAAATGATTATGTTTTTAATGTATGTTTCATTCTAGTCTGTTCAAAGTTTTTATTTTATCTCAACCTTTGATCCATTTTGAGTTTGTTTGCTGGTAACAATAGCCAGGTTGAGTAACTGCTTTCTCCTAACTAACTTTAACTGTCTCCTTTATTATAAATTGAATTAGCACATGTGGTCAGTCTAGTTCTTGGCTCTCTTCCCTCTTTCACCCGTGCCAAACAGTTTGGTTTACTGTAGCGTTATAAGATGTTTTAGTAACTGGAATCACTCATGCTCTCCCCTTAGTTTTCCCTTTGTTCAGAAGTATTTTGGATATTCTCACATTTATCATGTAGGAGCTCCACTTTCTTAGGTAACAAAATAAACCTATTGAATTTTCTGATGGCATCATACTGAATTTATAGATTAAATTAGAACTGATATGCTCACTATATTGAATCTTCTTAGTATAAAGGTCCTTGAATTTATGTAAGTCTTTGGTTTTTATTTTTATCAGAAACAGGATTGTGATTTCCATTCTATTTTCCAAAGCAGTGTTTAATTATTTCATTGAAAAGCTATCAATTCTTTATACTGACTTATAATCAGCCAGTAGATTCACTTACAGTTTTGATGACGTGGGGTACATACTGGGGTTATCAGACAAACCAGCTGTTAACGCTGTGCAGCCTCTCTGCTGGCAGCTGCCTCTCTGGATGCAGGCAGACCATGTATTTTCCGTGTTAGCACTTGCTAGTCTCATTCTTCCTGAGTCCCCCTGGAGTGACCCCGTGAGGGAGTGATTATCACTGTGCTGAAGTGCATGTGTGCACAGCGAGTGCCAGGAGGGCTGCAGGAAGCCAGCACCCATCTGCAGGCGGAACTGGCTGAGCCTCCGCCCCGCGGCCCAGGCCGCCTGCTGCCCTGCTCCTGGCTGAAGGAAATGTATGCTACAGTGGAATTCCTATGGGGGATTCTTCCAAGAATCAGATTATGTTACAAATGTCACATACTATACTTCACGAGAATGTAGAGCTTTAAAAGTCAATCACGGGGGAAATGGCGGAATAGGGCTGACCTCAGCTCGCGGCTCTCGGGGAGAGAGGCGCAGAGGGCAGACGACCACGCGCGGGCCACCTGCGCCTGCTCTGGAGCAGCTTCGCAGGGCTGCAGAGAGACACCGGGACACGGAAATTGTGGACAACAATCGAAGGTGAACCGAAATTCTTCCACGAAACCCGGGGAGTCGGAAGTGCCGCGGGAGGGAGTGTCGCGCGTCTGCCGCCCACGGGCTGGCCGGAGCAGGCACCCTTCCCCCCACAGGGAGCCGGTCCCTGCCCCACCGACCCGACCCACGCCCGCGCAGGCAGGCCACTGCCTGAAGGTGGTGGGAGGGGGCAGCGTGGGCAGACGAGCGGTGTGGAGGGGAGCCCGAAGCAGGCAGCAGTTTGAATTCTACACGGCGCCCCGCTGAAGCAGTGGCGGTGCAGGAAGGGTCTGACCCAGCAGCCGCTTCCAGCCCCCCGCCCCGCCCCGCCCCGCCCCGCGGCTGGGAGACTCCGCGCAGAGCCACGCGGGAGGCGTTTTCCGTGCTTCCCCACTGCCCACACCAGCTGAACTGTTCCTGCTTCTGGAGAGGGCAGCTTCCCGAGCTCCCAGCGCCACTGAAGCGGTAGTGGGTGGGGAGAAAGTCCGAGCCCTGCAGCCACTTCCCAGCCTCCCAGCCCCACCCCGTGGCTTGGAGAAGCTGTGGAGGGCTGCATTGGAGGCGTTTTCCAGGCATCCCTACTACCCTAAACCAGACAAACTGTTCGAGCTGCTGGAGAAGGCATCTTTTTGAACTGCCAGAGCTCCACTGAACCTGTAGTGGGAGGGGAAAGGGTCCAAACCCTGCAGCTACTTCCTAGCATCACCACACTGCCCATAAGCTTGGAGACGCTGCAGAGGGCCACACTGGAAGCGTTTCTCTGGCACCCCCTCTACACTAAACTGGCTGAACTGTTCAGGCTTCTGGAGAAGTTCTTGCTGCACTCAGCTGTTGGAGCTCTGTGCCCAGAGAGCAGAGCCTGTCTTAGCAAGGCGGAGAAGTGAAGGAGGCTGCTATTCCTGAGGACTCGAGGAACCCTTGGGAGTGGCAAGACATTCGGCAAGACAGTCACTTAACACTGAGATACCAGTATATCCTATTTGGAGGCTTAGAGTGCAATACAAAGATCTTGGGATATATTGATAACTGACTCCTTCCCACAAACCACAGAGAACAAAAGAAAGAGTAAACTCAGTGCTTAACACAGTGCCTCCTGCTTCAACCTAGTGGTGGAAACTGGTCTCCATCTCACTAGTGTGAACGATCCCTTGGGTGTCTAAGCAAGGGACCCAAACACACTAAACTCTGTGGACAGAAGGTGAAGACATCAGGTCAAAGATAACCCAACAGGCCTAAACTCCTCTTAGACGATACAGGACCAGAACACATCCTCCCCAGCTCTTCCAAGGATCATTCCTTTGGAACTCAAGAACACAGCTCATAATTAACTTCCAGCACATCTATTCTTCAACAAAGTATCCAGATGAGGAAGAACCAGTGAAAAACATCAGGAATCATGAAGGATCAGAGAGAAAAGTCACTTCCAAAAGAAAATACTCATTCTCCACCAACTGACACCAACTTACACGATACGATTAAACTAGCAGAGGAAGAATTCCGAATATGGATTGTTAGAAAGCTCAATGGAATCAAAGAGAAAATAGAATCCCAACATAAAGAAACCACAAGAACAATCCAGGAAATGAATGAAAAATTCTCCAAAGATATAGAAGTAAATCAGAGAAACCAAGCAGAAATTCTGGCAATGAAGGAAACATTCGAGGAACTCCATAATATAGTAGAAAGCCTCAAAAATAGTATAGACCATGCAGAGGAAAGAATCTCAGAGCTTGAAGATTATACCTACACGCTAAACAAATCAGAGGAAGAAAGGGTGCACAGAAACAAGAGACAAGACCAAAGCTTACAGGAAGTGTGGGATTATGTAAAAAAAGTTGAATCTCAGATTGATTGGGATTCCAGAAGGGGAAGAGGAACATTCACAACGGTTGGAAAACTTATTTTACGGCATACTGAAGGAAAATATGCCGGGCCTAGCTAGAAATCTGGATATTCAAATTCAAGAAGTGTACAGAACTCCTGGGAGACAGAATGTGAATAGGCAATCACCTCGTCATTTGGTTATTAAGCTGACCAAAGTAAATGTGAAAGAAGCAATCCTCCATATAGCAACGGTCGCCCCACAATACCTCTAACCGGTCTCCGTCTCTCTCCTCGCTTCCGCCCGCGAGGAGCGCGCGGTGCCCTACTCCTTATCTTTCAAACCCGCCCGGGCTCTCCTCTCCTCGCCCATCTGCGCGCATGTGTGGTATCTATGAGGGTGAAGATAATAACACTCCTTCTCAGACAAGCCAATCGCTAAGAGAATATGCACAAGACAGAACCAGACACTGCAGAAATTCTCAGACCTGCCTCTC